CTCAAGACCTCTCCGTCCCCCTTCCTACTGTCTCCATACTCAGACCACTAATCGCCACACCTCAACAGCCCCCCTCCCTTTGCAAAGCCTCAAATCCCTCAAGCGAAGCCTCAGACTGTCCAACCGCAGGATTGATGAGGAGCGCTTGTCAGGACTGGCACTATCAGACCCGTTTTTTTTGGGGGGTGAAGCACTCGATAGGTGAGCAAAGATAAATTGCGAAATATTTTAGTTTTTGTCGTTGCGCTCATTTCATGCCCCAAACTGGCTATTTTCGCCTATTCGATTCAAATTTAATGTCAACTGGATACGAAACTGATAGGCGCACACTAGTGGTGCACACTAGTGGCAACTTTCATCGCACAGGTTCAAGGTGAGTGCCGGCAAATTCTTCTACATCGATCTCATCCAAGCATCCGTTTTCATGCGTGCGCATCGGGCTGCAAACTGTTCCGACCGAGCCAGACGCCGCCGTCCAAACTGTCCAAATGAATCAAGCAGGCATTGATTGAGTAATTAGCTTAATCAATGAAATGACATTAAACGCAATCAAATCGGGGAACGTTTACGTTTGTGGCTTTTGGACAAAAGCCAACATAAAGCGAGCTTCAAAAGCGTCATTTAAGTGGCCCCCGTCTTGATTGAACACTCGAAACCGAGAAGTATCTCTAATTGGCCGTCATTCACTCGTAAACGTTCCATTTGGCCTCTGAGGCGGAGGCGTTTTCTCGCTCGCTCAAGTCGGTACTTTACAGGGGGAAAAAGCTCAATATCTGCGAGTCATTATCAAGATGGATTGTGGTGACAAACGGGCTGCCCAAACCGCCTGGAGCAACCTCCCGGCGACGCGAGCGTTCTGACACATTGACACAGCCGAGCGGACCCCACCTCTCTCTTCCTCGGAAAAAAAAACCCCAAAACATTCATCCATCCATCCCAAACGTTTATGGGCCAACAGCCGAGGGAAGTTTGGCCAAATCCGCCAAACGCAGATCACGACACGCTTCCTCTTTGTCGAAGCGAAAGAAGAACATTGGTTTCTACCGCGCGCGAGTGCGGTCACGCGTGCGAGCGCCAGTTCGACGCGGCTCTCCGATAATTGAACACACTTTGCAGCGTGTGTTTGAGGCGCTGCGATAATTGAGACATCAGGTTCTGTTTGTTTTAGGTTTCCTTTGCAGACGGGTCGCGACAACGCCGTTTATGACAGCGCCTTTTGAAAAGATCTCGCCCGGGCTTTTGAAAGGGGAGCCATTAGCGCACGCCGATGCTATTTCAAGTGCTGCGGTGGAAAATAAAACGCAGCAAAGCCTAATGGCTGTTCTTTCTCTGGTATTTGGTTCTGGTATTTGTAATTTCATTAGAGGCCTGAATTTTGGAAGCAAGGTCTGCCACACTTCAGTGAAGCATGTCCCCCAAAGAATTTGCGGTCGCGCTGCAGTCGCGGAGATGTTTACGTGGGCGATATTAGTCTGAAGCAGACGGAGAGCCCGGCTACGCTCGGGTTTTTCGACCACAGTCTCCTTCCGCCGGCGGGACCCTGGGATGCTTTGTGGGAGCGTCAGGCGGAGTGACAGAGGAGGGGAATGTCAGAGGAGGGGGCAAAAATTAAAAACACAAAGTTGTGGGGAGATACCCCAAACCTCAAGACCTCTCCGTCCCCCTTCCTACTGTCTCCATACTCAGACCACTAATCGCCACACCTCAACAGCCCCCCTCCCTTTGCAAAGCCTCAAATCCCTCAAGCGAAGCCTCAGACTGTCCAACCGCAGGATTGATGAGGAGCGCTTGTCAGGACTGGCACTATCAGACCCGTTTTTTTTGGGGGGGGGGCTGGGGGGGTGGAGACAGGAAGCTGGGCTGCAGACTCCAGGGGCCGTCTGTCATCTCCTGCGTACACGGTCGGCCCGATCATCGCTTTGGAAACTCCGAGGCTTTTGGGGAGTTTGAAGGGAGGGGAACACGGTGGTTGAGCGGTTAGCATTGCTAAATTCTGGTTTGGAACCCGCGGCGTTTTGCATGCCATCCCGACAGCTCACGGAGAATCATTCCTGCTAACGGGGTTTCCTCTTACGAAGTCCAACAAACACAGTTCACCGAAAAGGTTGAGCGCAGGCCGGATAATGGCTAAAAAGCTGCACGGATGAGAGTCAGAAGTCAGAAGTGAGAAGGTCCTCGAGGGCTCCGATCCAACATGTTTTCGATAGTTCCCTCCTCCAGCACACCTGATTTGAATGATCAGATCATCCGCAAGCTCTGAGAAGCCGGATAACGATCCTGATTGTTTGAATGATCAGGTGCATTGGAGGAGGGAGACGCGCTCGGTGTTGGAAGCAAGGAGCACAAGCTTTGGTTTGAGCTCTAACTATCTTTGCAGGCTCACACGGTACCGTAGAAACATCAGATTTTAAACTCGAAATGCCTGACCTGATGTTCATTCATTCCTTCATTTTCCGATCCGCTTTATACTCACAAGGGTCGCGGGGGGGGTGGGTGCTGCAGTCTCTCCCAGCCATCTTCGGGCAGGAGACGGGCGACATCCTGAACCGGTTGCCAGCCAATCGCAGGGCACACAGAGACGAACAACCATCTGCGCTCACACTCACACCTCAGGAAAATTTGGAGTGTTCAATCTGCCTGTCATGCATGTTTTTGGAAACCGGAATACCCGGAGAAAACCCACGCAGGCCCGGGGAGTACATGCAAACTCCACACCGGGGAGGCCAGTACTGGGATTGAACCCGGTACCTGTGCACTGTGAGGTCGACGTGCTAACCACTGGCCCACCGGGCCGCTCTGACTTGAATGTTTCCCTCCAAATTCCTAATGACGACTATACCACAAACTAGAGCCCCTAAACGCTTTCATTTCAAACTCATCTTACATTACCCTTAAAAATAATAACTACCAAGTACTTTTATTACCTTTATGACCACTGTACGATAAAGGCAAAAAAAAAAAAAAAAAAATGCGCAAGAATCGAAGCAGAAGGGACAAATGGCTGCCGACGTTGAACACGAAAACCAATGTCGCTGAGAAGCGATCGCTCGACGACACGGCCGCCTTGACATCGGGATCGCAAAGCAGCACCACAAAGAGTCGAAACCCAAAGCGGATTACCGTGAAGTCATTTGTTCCAGGTCAGGGTGAGTCGCAGGTCGCAGAGAGGAAGTCGGAGCCGTTTGCTGGGCAAAAGAAGACTCAATCGAAGCGCACGATGGCCTTGAGGCGCTTTGGTTCTTTGTTGGTCCTTTTCAGGAACATCTGTTCAAAAGATGCTTGAGTGATGGTCAAAAATGTGCTGGCGCAAAACACTGACAGCGTGCACGCTGGCAGACGAGGGATCAATTCTCCCTTTATGACGTGAGGACGATACAGAAGACAATCGCAGAGGCGGCAGGTCATTCTCAGTGCAGATTTCAAACAAGAGTATATCAGCAAAGAGAATAAAATGAGAACTGGGTACTTGCCTGGGAGGGTTGGGGGGGGTGCAATGGGGGTCCCAGTCTTCCTCCCCTAATGGCATGCAGATGGGCCTGTCCAATGCCGGTTTACATATTTGCGGCATAGTTCATGACTAAAGCAAACAAATTATTACCAATTATTTTGCCCGGCGACTCGACCAAAAATCAACTTCCCCTTCTCGTTATGTGTGTGTAAGGGCATCATTTGATTGGAGGGCTTTGTTTATTTTGTGAACGGTTGCATAACAGAAAAAAAAACCTCAATACAGGGAACCCCAACTATTTGTGGGAGATTGGGATCAAGTCCTGCTGCAAAAAGCAAAAACACAAGAAACTGAGGGCTCCCACAAAAATCTTTCAAATTGCCTGTATTAACAGTTTAGAATGAACAATGAACCCCCCCCCCCCCACACACACACACACACAAAAAAAAACTTTCACATACTTGCTTTTTTTCATAGTCTGGCTGGTACTGCAAGTTCAAACTCGAACTTCCGCGTCTAAGTAAGAAAAACGTTTTTCTTTTTAGTTGAAAATGACTTCCCTTCAGTAGAACCCCATGTTACACTGTGGTCAAAGGTCCAATCCTGGTTGGTATTTGCGCCTGTTGGTGCTGTAAATAGTCTTGCCTCGCCAGATGCCGCATTCTAAACTAGCGAGCTAGCTGGGTCTCCTTGTTGCCGCATGAGGCAGCAGCAGAACGGAAGGGAAAATTTTATGGGCGGAAAAGATTTATGGACCGGATTGTATCGACTATTGATGGGGTATACAAGTGGAGATACACGCGTACAAGGTGTGTGAGAAAAGTTCCTGGACTGGTGTCACAAAAGACATATTTCAAATCCAAAGTACAAACCAAGTTTTTCCCGTCAAAATAATATTCCTGATGTCCACTTCTGGAAGGATTCTTCAAGCATCCACTGGAGCTCTGTCGTATCGGCCAAGTTGAAGTCATCCACATATTCCAAACGGTTCCCCCTGATGACTCCCTTGAGGTTGGGGCTGAGGGGGGGAAAAATGTATCACATAAAGCCCAGCTGGGTGAGGAGGGATAGCCAGGAAGTGTCAGATGCTCAAGCCATCGTCGCGGTGAAGCAGCCACGAGTCGCACTCGCACAACTTGCCGCTTGTCACACAGTGAACCAATCAAACCCCGCTGGGTCTTGTTGCTTGGCGGTCTGGCCCACACCGAAGGGGAAACTTGTCGCTTGGCTTTGAAATCTTTCATGACATCAGTCCTAAACTTTTTGGAGAGAAGTTCGTCAACGTAGATACTTAAATCATATCTCTGCACGGGCAATCCATTTTAGCTTATGGTGAGATGAATAGCCGAGTTTGTGATGAGCGGACCACAAATAGGCGGCGATTGACTGCAGAAGTAACGACAAGCCGATGCTGACAAATTCATTTCAGCAAGACCAGAACGTAAAAGGTGGTAAGCGTGAGCGGGCGGGATGAATCTTTTCTGATCATGCGACAACAGATGTTTTGCATTTTGTTCCTAACGCACACTCGTTCGTCTCTGTCCGATTTTAGAATGCTGTGGAGAATAACCATCGCGGTCATATTAGCTGGAGCGCTCTGCATCACGGCAGAAAGCAAAAAGTCCCGGCCGCAGGGCTACATCCCGTCGCCGTACAAGACCAAAGCCAACCTGTCCTCCGAGCGTCACCAGCAGCTCCTGCAGCCCAAGCCCGAGGTGCTGTCGTCCAGCCGCGAGGCCTTGGTGGTGACCGAGCGGCGCTACCTGCGCAGGGACTGGTGCAAGACCCAACCCCTGCGCCAGACCATCAGCGAGGAAGGCTGCCGGAGCCGCACGGTGGTCAACCGCTTCTGCTACGGCCAGTGCAACTCCTTCTACATCCCCCGGCACATGGGGCCCAGCCACAATCGAGGACAAGGAAGGAAAGGCCACAATAAGGCCCAGGAGCCCTTTCAGTCGTGCTCCTTCTGCCGGCCGCACCGCGTCACGCAGCTCACCGTGCAGCTGGATTGCCCCGACCTGCAGCCCCCTTTCCGGCACCGCAAAGTGCAGAGGGTCAAACAGTGTCGCTGCATGTCGGTGGACGTGAGCGGCCACGGAAAGCTGTGAAGACCCTTGGCGAAAACTCGCAAATGATGCCCCCCTCCCGGCCACCCCTCCAAAAAAAGCGCCCCTCTCTTTGCTTGGAACTTAATGAAACGCAGAAGGAGAAGACACTGATTCAATCACAGACTCGAGGACGTGTTAAGAGACTGTTACGTTTTGATGTGGGCCTGATATTTTCCTTTGTTGCCAGGGGAAAGAGTCCAAAAGCTAAATGACTTACTGGACCCAAACTGTGAAAGGGTGTTTACCGGTAGGAGATGATCAAAATCCGTCTCGTTCTCTTAAATCCATTCAGTGTTCTTAGCGATGCACAATCGGTTGTCTAAAGGCAACGCAATAAAGACTTTTGCCTGTTTGGACACACACACACACACACACACACACACACACACACACACACACACACACACACACACACACACACACACATATATCCTACAAAAAGAACAACAAAAACACCCCACAATACTGCTCAACATGTTCTCACAAGAATTTAGGAGGAACTCATCCAAAAACTCAGATGGACTACAAATATGGTGGACATGCTATGATGCGTCACCCACTCTTTGGTAAATTTCTGCATTAACATCAATGAAAATGTTTCAAAGTCAACCCCCCGCCCCCCGAGAAATCCCCAAATGCCCATTTTCTATCGAGAAAAACGCATTTGTTCTTGTACAAAATTCATGTGAGAACAGGCTGTACTGCTGCATGTGTATTTCAAGTGCAATGCAATATATCATCCAATATAAACATGTTATGTAAGTGTGCATATGTGAAAATATATTAAATCTATTTCATATAAATCCTATTTTATTATTTGGTTGCACAGCCGCTGACAAACAGGAGCAGGAAAGACCCACCAAAAATGTAAAATGAATGTAAATTATTTTATTCAATAAATATATATCTATATATCGATATCTTTTTCAGGGTCAAAAGGTATCCCATCTAAAACATGTCATGTGATCTTGTTGCTCCGTAAGCACCTTAGTGGATGAGAGGAAGATGACAAAACAACAAAATGGCCTGCATAAGAATTAAAAGAAAAGCGAACGATTTTAGCTTGATGACATTACATCACGATCGCTTTTATAAGAAGAGGGGGGCGGGGGGGGGGTGACCTTTCGAGGATGAGCAAATGCAGCAAAGGAGGGGCGAAAAATGCGGCTACCCAAAAAGTAAAGCCACGTTTTTTGCCCTTTTTCTTTTCAATGCAAATATCGAATTACAAATGACACGTTTCTAAAATCCACGTTGTCCAGCACTCATTTGTCAACTCTCGTGTGCGATAAGGCACTTTGTCAGGGTTATCTATCTTGTAAAACGCTTTGTCCGGAAAGTAGACGGAGATATTGCACTCGGGGAAAAACAAAGATCCTCTACATATGGCTTCAAAAAAAAAAAAAAATCCAACGCACGGATACAGTGTTGCTATGAATTTGCGCCGAGCATTTTCTGGCATCCAGGCTCAAATCCCCGAGGGTCGAGTTTGTCTTTTGCAAGCAATAACTCAATAAGTGCTGCCAGAAGCGGGATGAGCATTCCACGCTGGATACGTTTAAAATGGGCCAACTTGCGATGGTATTAAATTGATTTCTTAAAAAAAAGAATACTTTGGAGTAAAAATGACTGATGCGTCACGTCCGATTGTACTTTCGCAGTAGCCTCGGAGATTACCCTTCTCTGCTTTACATCTTCTGGCCCAGCTTCGCTTTCTGCGGAACAGAGAAAAGATGTTTTTATTTTGGGGGGGGTTGTTTTTCCCGAGACTACTTGAGATAAAGCAGAGTAGACCGGCAGAACTCAGACGAAGAAAAAGGACGACGTACTATTCCAGTCGCGTGTTTGGGTTTGACGTTGTAGGATGCTTTCTCCTTGGCCTGTTTGAAACACTCCTCCGCCATCTTCAGCCTAAAACGCAAGGCACAAAATATAGAGACAGAAACATTATTCTTCCCGCACGCTTTGGAATTTGTTACGTGTTAAAATACGTAATACAGAACAGAAACACCGTTCTGTATTATTTATTAACTTGGTTTGGGTGTCTGTGAACTACGAAATCGGAATGTGTTATTGGGTCACAAAAAAAAAAAAAAAATACTAATAGGGGAAAACTTACATTTTTTCTTCATATTTTGCCAAAATTAAGACAAAAATTTCTGAGGGAAAAAAAATTTGCCTTTGAAATCCAGTCAGAATTTTCCCAAAACAAAGTCAGTAATTCTAAGAGAAAAAAGTACATAATAAAGAATCCATGGCTTTATTTTCCAAGAATAAAGTCATCACGATCCAATTTAGCATATAAAGTTCCGTATTAAAAGATTTGAAAATCAGCCACAATGTACCCTGTTGTTCAACAAAATAGAAAGAAAAAAAGTAGCGTAAATCAAAAGTCAAGAAAATGATTGTCATAAGATGATCACATTTTTGTCCATTCTCGACATCTCAGCCCTAGTTACGATCTCCCAAAACTTACACGATCCTCATAAAACTGTGACCTGTGTTCTGTTCACAAAAAAAAAAAAAAAAAACATGACTATGACCTGTTGAGCGATGATCACTTCAACCCAAACAAAAATTCAGCTTCGGAAGTGGTTGAGCATTTTCACGAGTTGGCTTGTTCGCTCAAAGAAGAGGGCAGCGATAACTTGACCCGTCAGTGCCAGCACCGCGTGAGGGAAGATTACAATCTTTAACTGCGCAACCGCCATCGCACAGCGAAAGCCGCATGATAGCTTGGGGCCAAAGGTCAAAGGGTTAACGATTTCCCATTCTGTTTGTATGCTTTCCTGCCAGCCTCTCACTCGGGGCCTTTGGACGAATATCTCGATGTGATCTTCATGTGGCATAATGGACCAATTTGCTTTCTGTTGTCCTGCATTGTAATCGGTGTATCTATCACAGCACTGGAAGCCAAGTGGATGCTGCGTGCGTTCTTTTCATTACAGGGGCCGAGGAATCCGAATGACCGCGATAGGATCTACAGAGTGAGCGCGACACACTTGAACTTGTTCAAGAGTTGGGAGTTTACCTTTCCAACAGCAAAACGAAACAGCAGGATTTGATTTGACACTTTCCAAAAATGCTCACATTCAGCAAAAATAGATAGGGTCAAAATATGAGGGGGGAAAAAAAAAAAGCATTTCAAGAATTCACCATATACAATACTCATGTAAAGTAATAATATTTAGGGAAAAACAATACTATCCCAGAGCAACGTTGCGATATGAGAGGAAAAAGTCAAGAACAGCGTACAAACTTTGTACAAGAATAAGACCGTGGCAAAACTGCAAGAATAAAGATTCTGTAGTACAATCAGCTCAAAAGAAACCGTGCCACTGAATCTACGAGAGGGAGGAAATTAGAACACCCCACACACACCTTATCACACTATCTCCAGATGGGAGTAGCTAACATTAGCCATTAGCTGGCTTCAGATTTGGAAGTGAATTTCTTTTCACTATGGTAGGGAGGGGAAAAAAACACACCAATAAGCAAGAGCTTCTTTTTTTCTTTTTGCTTAGTTTTGCGTAATTGTTTTTCTTGCTTAGATTATATTTACATTTCTTGGAATAGTTCCTCAATGCGACAATTAGTTTTTAGTTTAGTAGTTTCTTATGAATGTGAGTGTTTGTGGGTTGCTAATGCTGCCGTGACAAATTAATTCCCCATCTACCAATTGGAAATAGAGCCTATTTGACTATTTTGGTAGCTAACTAGCTAGCTAGAAATGTATGTATTTTTCTTATAGCTAGCTAACAGGAAAAAAAAAAACCTAAGCTAAGCTAACTTTGGTACATTTCACAAAGCTTATACAGCTACGTTGACTCTATCTGACCACATAGCTAGCAAGCTAGCAAACAAGCAGTCTATTCATCAACATTCTAGCGCTCTAATCCAGGGCCTGCGTAACTCACCGTTCCTTTAGCATCAGCTTGTTCTGCTTCTTCCACTGTTCTTTAAAATCCGTGGAAAACTCGTGCCAAAGGCCGAAAAGAGTGTTGGGTGACGCCTCCTTTTCTCCCGGTTTGGGTTTGACCGAGAAGGATGTGCTGAGCTCTAAGAAGCTAAAGGAGGAGGAGGACAAAAAAAAAAAAGAAAACGGGAAGATCCAGACAAAACTATTACAGCATGAGATAAAACAACGTCAGTTATTGCAAAAAAAAAAAAAATTGGCGGTGTCAAAGCAAATATGCGCAATCCAAACGCTTATCTTGGAATTTGATGTTTTTTCGAAACAAAACAGTGAATTCAGACAACAGACTTAAGACATTTGGATTTAAGCCAGAACGCGATGTAGTGTATCGCTTAGCTATGCTAACCCGGTAGCAAAAAGTCATCAATCTATCCATCCATCCATTATTTCGTGGTGCCTGTCCTGCAAGCCTTTCCGAGCTGACTTTGGGCGAGATGCAGAGGACACCCTCGCGAAAGTCAGCAATCTATCCATCCATTATTCCGTGGTGCCTGTCCTGCAAGCCTTTCCTAGCTGACTTTGGGCGAGATGCAGAGGACACCCTCGCCGGTCAGTCATTCACATACAACCATTCGAACCCAGAACCTCCTGACTGTGAGGAAGACATGCTAACCGGCAGTCATTCATTCTGTTTTCGTTCCATTCGCCAGTGTGTATGTAAAAATGAAGACTGAAAATATCAATGGTATCCAAATTGCGGAAAAAAAACAAAAATGTTGAAGCCGATTTAGTATCAAATAAAGAGAAACCTTAAAATCTTGAACCTTGGTGGACACGTGTTTAGGGCGTAAAGGCAGGGAGGGCCACGCACCAACGATCCATCAGAATCGCTGGTGCCGCGCGACGACGCATGTCAAGGTGTTGAACAGGGAGCCCGTTTGCAGTGGATCAATACAGTGGGCAGGTTGGGCTCTCTTTGTTTGGAGTGCGCTGTAGGAACGCATTCCTCACCAGCCGTAACAGAAACCTGGAGCCAAGGCTGTCTACTCTCGCTTCGCTTAGATAAACAACGCAGACACCGCACGTGGGGGTGCGCGGGGGTGTGTGGAATAGGCTCCCGTCTACTGAGGCCCCCCCGGAACCATGGCCTGCACCTTCCTCATAACCGAAGGAACGAGAAGCCCTAAATATTGACAAAGCGGCAAGATTATATTCCTCTGTGAATATGGCATTGAAGGCTTTGTTGGATTTATCTTCCCGTGTTGCCTTTACTTCCAAACTCACAAATCAGGGCTTTGACGCACAAGAGCACGCCTTATGTAACCCGCGAAATGGAATAAGAGGAATCACCGACCGGAGAGAAGGTGAAGAAGCTTCGAGACTAATCCTGAAAGAAAGATCAAGGGCTTACGTGTTTTGCGTGTCTGCCAGTTGTTTCTCCTGCGTTTCCAGCTCAGTTTTGGCTGAAAAAGAGAAAGAAGAGAAAAAGGCATTTGGTGGGAAAACGAGAGCCGTGCGAGGAATGCGCGCCGGGGATGAGATCACTGGCAGGCGGACTTGTATGTACACGAGCGGTCCCGCCTGCCATCGTCGCTTAAACCAACAGTTGTTTTCGTGGTCGCTGGTGTGCCACCGAGCGGCTGGAGCGCTTCGCTGTTGCGCAACTGACAAATGATTCCGAGCGAGCGCAGCACAAGTGCCTCTTTGTGCTGTTGTCTCCGAATGGAGACGGATGGCTGCGTGGTGCGAAAGGTGCGAGGTGGAAGGCGAGGGTGGGGAAGTTAAGATGAGCAAAAATGGGGCATATTGAGGTTTTAAAATGTTTGTTGATTCGTTTGATAACATTTGTTTGAAAATATGTCTAGAATGGAAAATCGTGTGCTGCTTTTAATGCAAGTATAAAATGTTGATTATTTTAAAAAATGAACACCAGTTGGTCATTCATGATGAAGTGGAAGTTTTGCATCTTCTGTATTCATAACTGAGCAAAAAAAAAAATCTAATTTTTCTTTTTATCCATCCATCCATCCGTTTTCCGATCCGCTTTAACCTCACAAAGGTCCGGGGGCGTGCTGGAGCCTATCCCAGCTGTCTTTGGGCAGTAGGCGGGCGACACCCTTAACTGGTTGCCAGCCAATCGCAGGGCACACAGAGACGAACAACCATTCACACTCACAATCACACTTACGGACAATTTAGAGTGTTCAATCAGCCTGCCATGAATGTTTTTGGAATGTGGGGGGGGGGTAGGCTGGAGCCTCGACCACCGAGCCCTCTCTTTTTAATCCGAATACCCAATTATTCGACAGAATTTTTCAGTCGGATATTCGAATACCAAAATAGTCGATAGCTGCAGCCTTCGACATTCCAATACCTTAACTCCTACATTTTTTCCCCACTCCACTCTGAAACTTGCTCTTAGCCCAAAGCTCGTAAAGGGAGAAAAGCCGACGGATGAGACGACTTACAAGAGAAAAAAAAGCTACATTTACGAGACTAAAATCAGCAGTCTTACAGGTTTAACGTGACAGGTGATTCTCACTTTGCGGTGGCGTGGCGGTGAAGGTCAGGTCAATATTTCAATCATGTTTTTGTTTCTTTGCTAGTCCGTGAAAATATTACTTTACATCAAAAACAAGTCCCTGATGCAAAAAAAAAAAAAGACCGGGCACCGCGGCACTCGTGGACATTTCGAGCAGGCTACAGCGCGCTAATCTCAGCGACCATCGGGGTCACTTGGAGTGGCAGTGGAGTGTGACAGCCTGGCTCGATGGCAGTTAACTTATCTCATTTCTGATCCGCAGGCTCCCTATTTTCAAATAGAATAAGAGCAACAGCGGATTTGATCCAGCCGTATGTCCCCCCCCCCCCTTGGGTCGCGCCGTCAACTGTACTGCCGTATAATCGTCAAAGAGGGAGCCGGTTGTCTTCGCGTTCAATAAACGTATGCTAAAACTGCATTAAACTGTCAATGATTGGCCATGTCCTCGAGTCAATTCTCCTCATGGGTTCGTTTTGCGAGGCAGACATGACTGCAGATAGAACAGATAATCTTTCCTGGCGCAAATCAATGTTCAGCTCTTATCCCGGGAATATCTGGTTGCGATGTGTAATTGAAGCCAGAGCAGCATCTTAAGATCTCGGAGAAACCCGCTGGGACCGATGCAATTGCACGGCGCTAAATCACCCATCGGGCCAACAGTCCAATTCCTCCGGGATGACAGCTCGTCAATATCTTATGATAAATATGAACGAGGCTTCATATCGAGAAGTCGCTTTGTTCCTTGAGAAAAGTAAGTAGCGTATTTTCCCGCTCATACGGCGCACCGGATTAAAAGGCGCAGTGTCGGTTATGGCTGCTATTGCTGTATTCAAGACGTACACAAGACGCACTGCATTATTGGATACAGTTATGGTAAAATGTATGCTCGCTTAAAATAATACGATAACATAAATGCACTCTCGCGTATTTTATTATTATTATTTTTTTAAAAGGCAACGGGAGCAAAACTGAGTTTGGTGGTATTTATGCATTTAACAATATACACATTATTTATGGATCAATCCTCATCCAGGCGTGGGGAAAAAAAAAAAAAAAAACATCCGGTCTCTTCACGTCCACCTGACTGAGCCACTCTCTCATTTTCTCCTCGTCCGCCCAGCCTTTTCGATTTGCCTTAATGCATACTCCAGCCGGAAAGCTTGGGGGGTTGGGGGGGGGCAGTTTCTGCCCATTGCTACGGCAACCAAGCACAACAGCAAACTTGTGCCCCGTTGTGCGTATCGCTACCGAGCTGGTCCCCTTCTTTTCGACAACGCGGTTCACCGGGATGTTGAAAGTGAGCGGCACCTCGTCCGCGTCGGTGATGCGTTTGTCGGCAATCTTTTGACATGGTGACCGAGTGGTTGGCACGACTGTCTGTCGAATCTTAGCCTTTCGCTTGTGCAGTTGACATGTTTGGGCTGTGCTTATGTGCGTTTTCTCCAAGTACTTTAAAAAGAAAAAAAAATAATGTAGTGGGTTAATTGTCTCTACGCGCTCTTGGTCAGCTGGGAAGGCTCCAACTCAACTGTGACTTTAATCGGGACAAGTGCAATAAAAACTGCACGGTTGACGGATAAACAGTCAGCTTCTGATGAAAAACATTTTACCTCCAAATTTTGTGATTTTATTGTTTGACAGAAAGCAACCAGAAGGATTTTTCTCTGCGTTCCAGGTGTAGTTTGACAAAGCCCGGGGGGGATACCTGCGCTGCCATTAGATTGTGATGATAGAACAGTAACAGTCATTACTTAGCTTGGCAACGATATGGTGAGCAAAACATGAAAAACGTCTCACGACGTTTTTGAGAAGAGTTGGGGAGAATGGATGTAATCCCGCCCTCGTAATCTGGAGGTCTATCAGAAACAGATTAACCAACCGGGCCCAAAGAGCGAGCATCAAAGAGTGGCGAAAGACTTTGTGAAGCGAGCGGCAAAAAAAACAAAAAACAAAAAAAAAAAGCAGCGAGACCAAACAACGGATTCCCAACATGTCCGGTTCCACTGTTATCCTGTGGTTAGTTTCATGGCCAGAAAATAAACAAAGGCGGTTAAAAACGATGGAGCCAGAAACAGTTGAACCCACGGGCCTTTTTGGAGATTAGCGAAATAACAGAAAAAATATGACATTTGGCTGTTTTCTTGTTTTGTTTTGAGTGTTCTCGCCCCCCCCCCCCCACCCCCCTCCTCCTCTTTTCTAACGCCACAGTGGCGGAACCCCAAGAATCCCGTCTGGAGCCATGCGAGTGAAACTTCCACGCTCGCAATCGTCTCTCAGAGGAAAAACCTTGTCATGTGAATCAAAGCGGGAGCTTCCATATTTCTCTCCCCAACCCAGAAAGGGAGCGTATGAGAGAGGGGACCGAGGGGAGCGAGGGGAGTAATGGAGGGCGCCAGGAGCTTTTCATCTGCAGACTTCCTTTAAAAAAAAAAAAAAACGGACAGCGAGCTTTACCGCCGAGCCACATATGCTCCGCGTTAGACTTCCTCATTTGAATACAAAAGCAGTCGGCGCGAAGCCTGTGGCATGTTCCTTCAGAGGGATTGGTCACAGTCAGTTAAATGCCGCCTGGGTCAAAGCCAACAGAAGACAAATACATTTATTGTTATATAAAAACACCCAGCAAACAATGTTGCTGGATACAGTTGTGCAACAAAAGCGACACAATAGCGCTTTCCTAATTCTGAAGCTTCCCTATTGAACGTCAGCGTCATGGCTTTTTATTTATTTGTTTGTTTATTTTTTGCAGGACGCGTGTCAACTATCCTTCACGGCCCGTAAAAGTTCTTCACAATAGTCAAACTCGGCAGCATAAATGTAAGTATTGCTTCATTGGCGCTCAACAGCCTGAATATGAAATTGAGCCACGGCTCACCCCGCCCGCTTCACTCCTCAGTAAGGAGTTCGTTACCATGACGACCGAGGGCGGACACCACGAACTGAGCATCACGACAGTTACAGTTAGCTTCATTTTTTTTCCAAAATTATTTCACACTACAATCCTGTACTGTCGAATGAAACCAAAGATCAAAAGCTGCAAACGTAAATTTAGCAAGCTGTAGGCGAGGCGCGGAGACTGTTGACATTGGTCTTCAGTCACTTAGCCAATCGGAATGCAGAACACAACACACTGTAATAAATAAATAAATAAAATATCCATGAAACAGCGAAGTCGTGAAAGGTGAACCGCGATATACCGAGGGTTGACTTCACTAACCCTTTTACTAAACCATTTATGTCAGTTTCATTGGGCGGTTAGTGAAACATCGTTTTGTTTTACGGACAAACCACAGAAGATGTGGTTATTGTCACAGTTCCGAAATATCAACGAGATCAAGATTTCCGTGTCGATCTGGTGACAAACTCTCACGTCTCAGTTCGCGTTTATGGTTCCCTTGCACAAAACATCAAGACTGTTAAACTTAAAGATGCACTGTAGTGAATTAACAGCAATGTCGAATGCAGACTCCTTACGCTAAGTCTCCAGTAAATAGTTCAGCCGATTCTTGTTTTGCCAGCCTGACAGCACTTTTTCTCTCATCTTTAATTCCTCCGGGAGATATTGGGTAATTTGAACATTTATGGAAGCAAAACCATGTGAGACCAAGGCGAGGGAAAGCCACTCTCAGTGGGGCTGTTGACATGTGAAATGCGACGCTAAGTCTACAAGTCGCTATTTGGAAGATGGATTCTACTGGTTATCAAATCCACATTATTAAAACGAAGCCGTACATGGATTAGAAGTGTGAAAGGGCATAAATGAAAGCACTTTTCATATACGGTTGTGGTCGGGTAACGACATTCTGAAACATGGGCGGTGAAAGAGGAGGTCCACCTCAATTCGTCATCATCATTTGAACAGCCCTATTGGTAAACATCTGATAACAATGGTTTGTTTGATTTTGAATAGGTAGACGGAGGCGCGTTCAACAAGGTGAGAGGCTTCTTCTTGTTTCCAATATTACGCCAATGAGGTCCATTTAATCACCGTCTACCGCGATTATCGTCATGATGGTCACGGGTGAGCAAGATGCTCTCCCAACTACGTAGCCAAGAGGCGGTGTACACCCTGGACTGGTGATCAGCCCAGTTGCATTGCAGGTCACACATCGAAGCCTGATGACGATTCTCATCATTTGAATCTGCTGTGGTGGAGCAGGGAGACTGGACAGGGGCTCTCGAGGACCTGACTTGGGCACCCTTGATTTCGAGTCTTCATTCAACCGAGCGTGTTTTTGAAGTTGTGGTAGGCGCCGAGAGAAAACGCACACAAGCAGAGAGGTCTGAGATTCAAACCCAAAACCACAGAACTGTGAGGCAGACATGCGCCTGACTGACATAAGTAAGGTCAATTTGAGTGAGTGCATTTGAAGCGGAAGGGAAGCAAAATACAATTTTAAATAGGAAAAAGAATAAAGCTGGACTATGTACCGCATCCTGTGTCCTGCCGGAATTCCGTACATTTATCAAAGTCTGTGTCAAACTGTGGATGTATGTCCAAAAAGTGACAAAGTGAGAGTAACTCACCCTGGCTAACAAACTCATCCATCTTGTCCTTGAAGGGCTGCAGGTTGTCTTCTGAGGACAGCTTGCATACTTTTTCGGTCTCTCTGGAGCACGCTGAAAGAAAAGGATGCGAACGCCGCGTGAGTATACGTCGTGGCGGGGTCACGAATCACCGCCTGTATATTTTCTCGCTCCTTCTCGAATAGATTTGCAATGTCGATGAGGCCTACGAGGAGCGAAGCGCGCGTTTGTGTATGAAATTCAGAAACCATATGTCGCCACTCCGAGTGGGACCCAACGACTTCTGCTCGTCTTCTCTGCATTAGCCGATGTCATTTTGGCGCTTATCGGAACACCCCAGCCTCCCATTTGGGAAGCCCGCGTCTGTCGGGGACCTCAGGGGGGACGCTTCGTAATGATGAGCTCCACAGATTGAGCAGGGGATGAGGTTTTTATGTGCGGGCAGTTTGCAACAACGCCATCCGGACAGGGTAACATACAAGTCCATTCTCCTACCCTCCGTGAGTGATTAAATGTTCACGAGTTACAAATTACGCCGGGGGGGGGGGGTAGGAGAACAGACGATCTGGCAAAAGCATAGGGCACAACCTGATTGGTTTAGCAGCAAAGGCGCATAAAACATCCCAGAGACCAGACCTTGTTTGACGAATTGACTATGGGGACAAAATGGCGCTTTATTATTTGCACAAAAACACATTTGTAACCGCCCGTGCACAAGTCAGGACTTGGAAAGTGCTGCCGAATGCTTCAGGAAAGAGAAATGAGCCATTTCCCAACAGCCACATTCGTTCGGTCTTCACTTGGTGTCCAAGTGGAAGCCAAGCAGCACACAGAGATCTTGATCGATCAATAAAATTATTTTTCCATGTGTTTCACGAGGGAACGTTTAACCAGATTGAGGTAGCTTCTTTTTTTTCAAAACTGCAAATGACAATTGCCTCAGACACGAGGAGAGATTCTGCTGCCAAAAATAAAATGAATTTCGAGTTCTAGATGATGAAGACGTGACAGCACATTGTAGATTTCTGTAGATGCCATAAAAATGGGCCACCGCAGTGAGCAGGACAGAAAAGCGCACCAAAAGAAAACACATGGCTGAGAAACACAATGCATTCATGTTTTTTTTTTTTTTGCCTCCATTGCTGATGATTGCATCTCAAACCTTTCCTTGACGGAGGTCAATCAAAATCCCGGATTATCCATCCATTCAATTTCTATACTGGTTTTCCAATATTAGAGATGAGTACGGCGGGGTCGGGAGGTTCAATAACAGGGTGATCGTGAATTGGGGCATCTGGTTTAGTTCCAGGAGACAACAATGTACACTCCTGATACTTTGTTCTGAAACCGCGAAATTCGGGGTGGCCACTTCCTGTCCAGCCTGTTTTGGGACATCTCCCTCCTCCAACACACCTCATTCAAATCATCACCTCATCAGCGAGCTCTGCAGGAGCCTGACAACGATCCTGATCATTTGAGTCAGATGTGTTGGAAGAGGAAAATATTCCAAACTGGCTAGATAGGGGCTCGCGAGGACCGGACTCGGGAACCCCTGCCCCCCTATATTGTTGGGTTTCAGATGACTGGTACTTTGTACCGTGTCAGCTATTCTTCCTGTACACCCTGCTTGTTGGGTCTCAGGTAAAAAAAAAAAAAAAAAAAAAGTACCATGCGCATCAAGGATGAGTTGACAAAAGTGTGACCTAATACCGCAAAGTTTCTGGATTTTCCGCGGACGCCGTTGCAAACAGGACGCAATGAACATCATGCTTAAATCTCCAAATTTTCCAGCCATTTCTTCAAGGGTTTACTCTGGGTGAAAGTAAAAGGAGCACCTCTCCATTATGTACGCTGATCTCAATTTCATGAGGAGCTCTCTGCCGAACCCACGGGGGTCTCGTCCCGAACCATTCACATCTGTTTCTGCTTGTCGTCTCGACAACAACCAGATGTTATCTGGCAAGTTGACACACCTCCGCCAATCTGACCGCGGCCGTAGCATGCTCGGCTTTTGGGAAAATTAGTTTCCGTTTCCGCGCGTGAAGTTAAAGGCCTCATGCATAATTCAGGGCTTCACTTTTCCTCACGCGTTGCCCATAAACAAATAACACCTCGGGGTCACAGTTAAAGGCAGCTGAAGGGAAAGGCGGGCGGGCAGCAAGCGAGCGTCCAGGCTCTTCAGAAGCAGGTCGGGGGAGTGCGGTCGGGTGACCTTACCGGTCAGGTCTCTCCGTAGCTTGCGCAGGTCCTTTTGAAAGTCCTCGAACTTCATCTGGGAGGCCTGGAAGAGGTCGTGCGGCTCGGGCAGAGGGTAGGCGCACGTCTCTCTTCCAGCGTGCTGGTGAAACACAACACGCGCATTCATGCAGAGAAACACTGGAGGCTCCCCGACTTGGGCAAGGCCCCGCGCTTGTGTACATTATCAACGGCGGGCCGGATTGATACAAATGTTTGAAATGGCCCTCGCGCACTTACGAACAATTCAAACAAGTCAGAGAAGATCTGTTTGGTTTTGCAACACATTAAGGACCAATTAAGCGGGGCAAACAGGAAAAAAATCATCACAATCCTCTCCATCACTGTCGCTCCAAGGCCATTATGAGTTCGGCGAGCACGTAACGCAGGTTGATCTTGGCAAGCGGCACTCGGGGCTGAGTTCATCTCATCTGGCGAAAACTAATTATTTACACCGGCGCCTCTTTAGATGCCGTGCCAGCGAACGGACGGCCCGTTTGAACGAACCCAGGCCGAGAGATGAAGAGTGAAACGCAGACAGAAAATCACGAGCCAAACAGAGGAGGAGCGAGATTTCAGTTTGCCGTATATACGGAAAAGAAAAATAAATAATTTGATAAAGGATAAGTCATTGTATCCTCTGGCGGGAGAGGAGATGAAAAGAGGGCTCTGGAAGGATTTCTGAGGGAATCGGACCCGAACGGAAAAGTGATCCAAATAAACAGAAATGAAAACATACCTCATCAAAGTGCCTCAGATAGTAAGCAACCACGTAGGACAAAAGACTCTGGGAGTTATCCTGAAAGAAAGGAAAAGACCTAAATAAATAAACCCAAATCCTTTATTTATTAATCTAATCAACTCGGCGCAGGACGTTTCAATTTGTGCGTGGGCACACCAAAATAGAAACAGCGGACTGAGGAGGAGGAGGGGGAGAGCATCAATCATGACATTAGGGGGAACAATGTAACAACACGCTCGGCTGGCTGTCATAATTCAGAGTGGGATGTTCTTTATGGATGCAACGCTCGGTCCACCTCCACCGCAGCGCAAAGCAGCATCATGGCCTTATATGGCGGTGCCAAGGGCAGACTGGGACCAGTGTGAGATTGAGCGAGAAGAGTAAACACGATGGCCTCTCCTCCAAAGCTCCGCGGCTCATGCCGACCACAACTTCCAAGACTGGACTCTTAATTGCAGGTTGGGGGAGCCACCGGAGGTCAAGATTTTCCGATAACTTCTCTCCCGACTATTTTTATATCTGGCGGAGCCTTCAAAGGTCAACGCAATCCGTTGCTCTCATTTTGAAACCGTTTTGTTCGATGGGATGTCATGTAAAGTGAACGGATTCATTCCAGGCACAAAGAACATTAAAAAAAAAAAAAAAATTGCAGGTAAAGTAACTATCACACCCAGAGTTCAAGAAGCTAACACAAAGTTCATGATTCATTTAGTCTAACACCAACATACAATACTCATCGTATGATGACATTTGACATATATGTAATAGAAAAGGAGCAGGAGACATTTTGCTCTCAAGCTAACCTTGCTAATCATTAGCATGGTACGTGCGTTCGTCATCATGCTCTAAACATGAGCAAATTGTACAACTTTTGCTTTGGCTTTTCCTTCCCATGAAAACTTGCCCTTCTTATTGCAACGTGAGCATTTCTTTTCTCGGAAGCACTTACGCTGCTCTTAACGTCCTTCAGTTTGGGCAGAATGTCCAGAGTGAAGCCATCAGCCTGCCCGCGGGTTCGATTACCTCCATTCATGAAGTTACCAAAAGCCAGAACCAGACCCAGAACCTGCAATACGCACTTTCCGCTCTGAAGAGACTGAGACACACACAAACAGAAGTCAGCGACACTAATGCTAATAAAAAAAATAATTTTAAAAAAGGGGAAAAGAGCTCAGGGTTACGGTGGCTCACCTTGCATGTTCTTTGTAGTATTTCCATTTTGCGGACAATTGAGGTTATGCATTCGTAGAAAGTGGACTGGAAAAGGATGCAGAAGACCCTTTCGGAGAAGTTGGGGATCTCAGATAACTGCAAGAGGAACCTGAAGGAGGAGTGTTGACGGATGTTCAATTTCATTCACCGAGACGACTCGAGTCGCAAGTGGTGCACTGCAGACTCACTGCTCGGGCTTGTCCAGCGGCTTTGCGCCCTCCTTGTCTTGCGTGGACTTCATGTGTTTCGCAATGCTCTCCATCTCGTCATTTTGGGCTCTCTGGGAAAGGTGGATTTATTGTTAATTACTTTTTCTTTTCAATTCAAATGTATTCAAGCAAACATAAACTTAGGATGGTCGCTTGAAGGTGACACTGGAGCTTCTCCCAGTCTAGATTCCAAGTCATGGGCAGAGAAACCCGGTGCGTGGGCATGCGTTTTGTACAATAAATTCGACAAATTTGTGACCTGGTAAAATTCAAAACAGCTTGCAGCTGTTCACTAACAGGCAGATGACCAACGATTCGCTTGGTAGTTTAATTTATGACTTAATGGGTGGGCGGGTGCATCACAGACGCAACTTTTTGTTCCATAATATTTCAAGATAGATTGGCTAGCAACCAGTTAAGGGTGTACCCCGCCTGCTGCCCGAAGACAGCTGGGATAGACTCCAGCAACGCCCGCGACCCTCCTGAGGATAAAGTGGTTCAGATAATGGATGAATATTTCAAGATCATATTAAAAAACGCTTCATCTTGTCAGTTGCATATCATCCCAAAGCAGGAAGATGAACGTAAAGTTGCCGCTCCCCCAGTTGTCCTGTCCAAAAAAACCCCCGAGCAGGCCGGCCTTCGCGGGGATCCTCGGCGGACATCAATAGCGGGCATCAAACACTCCGAGGGTCCCATTAGTATTCCGCACACCGCCACCTTCTTCGGGCAAGGGCGCGCTCCCTTTCGCCCTCCTCTCGAGACGTTTTTCAAGTGTAAATATATTTAACACAAAGCAGATCCCTTTCAAAGGGCGGCAGCGCGGCTCAGCAGTGTTTGGCGTAATTGGGGACAAGTAGGCATGAGCGTGTGATCTTTGAATTGCAAGGGCATGTTGCAACGGTTGTTAGCATGGGAAATGCAGTCCCATGTGGAATATCAAATGCAAAGGAATGTAGGATGATATTCGGTGATGCCAGATTTCGAGCGGTCGTTGGCCAAGTGGTATTCATTATCCGCTTTTCTGGTTCTGGGCAAAGGGAGCCGACTACGGCTAATTCTCTCATTTATGTCACTCAGTGTGCCGTTTATGAGCGTCTCTGTGCACTGAAGTGCAAAGAATACTTTCCAAATGGGCGAGGGTATAATGCAATAAACATCGAAAGACATCAGAAGCCGCACGCCATGAAGAAAATCAAGAGGCGATCATTAAAAGATCGTACGAGAGGGACCGTGGTTCGGACTGACCCGCGTGACATTTCGCTACCGTCAGCAGTCTGAGCTTCAGACAGCCAGTCTGGGCCCAGATTATGGCTTGTGATATTGCAAGGGAGGGAGCCGTTTCCCCACTATCACTGCGACCCGCTTTTAATGGCTTATTGTTCAAAGCACAGGAGTGACTATAATCCGCAAGATCGCAGACTGAGCGACTCTACGCCCGCAGAAAGAGAGCGAGAGAGAGAGAGAGAGAAAAAAAAGAAAAATTAGAGCGCGCTCAGTTTCAGTTTGTTTGCGAGCGTATTTGTGCCGAGGCGAGGCGCGGCGAGGAAAGTGAGGGAGAGCAGCCCTGTCCTTTGCGCAGCCGGAGAGCGAGCGAGGGCGTAGCCATTAGAAGCCCCCTCGCATTCCTCAAGACAGGCTGACTGTGCTGCCAACTGTGGTTTAGGGGTCTGGAGACCCACAGACAGGATGGAGTCTCGCAATACAAAAGGGAAACAATTTGGCTCCTCCACTCAATAACACAGCCCGAGGCGGCGAAGGGGCGGAGGGGGGGAGAAGGAGAAGGGGCGAGAGGCCTTTCCAAATCGCGGGGTGAGCGGTTGAGAGGTTAGGAGAGGCTCTTGACATGTTGGTTCGGAAACGGCAGCTTGTCCTGTTCCCAGGATCGACATCGGCGATGTACGGATTTTTCTGTCGAACCCGATCCTCCGTTGAGTTCTGAAAACTTCACCAATGTTTTGTTCTCTTTCTGTGACACCTTGAAGCCCTTTTCACACTGCACTTAGTGGGGTATGGCCAGATCGTCAGGCACTTCGGATGGAAATAGTTCAAGCGCGAGCTACTAATTGGTTTGTAACGTAGGGCTGCATTCAGCGAGCTCTGCCTCTCTGAACACAAACACACACTCAGAGTCGTGCCAAAGCGCCAGGTTGAATTTCCAAACGCACCCGAAATCTGCAAAAGGATGCACCCATTCCCCTACGGCTTTGTTTTACAAAAATGAAAGATGGAGCAGGCTACATCTCATGTAGACCAGCGCCAAATGTCCCCCTGTTTACTTCCTAGCCGGTTGCTATGTTAGCATTTCCAAACATGGGCGCGCCGGCACCCAGGCCGCCGTTGTCTTTAGCATTCTGCCGTGCAACGTTTTCACACAGAGTGCAGGTGAAAAGGGTTTAACATGCCACAAGATGGCGCCAGAGCCCTGGCTAAAGAGGAAAATAGCTGTTGGTGTCAAGGAAGTACGTAAAATGGGACCAAGAGTGTTCCAATGTACGGTACGAGTTTTTGCTTTCTGTCACGAGGAAGCAGCGACAGACCATGTGATTTTTGAAGGGTTTTGGGGTCAAGGTTTGTGGTATAATTATGGTTCACACTATTGATATAGACAATTCCAAACATTTTTTAGAAGGGGGTATTCATTACTTACTGCCTTTGAATAGCGACTTTTTTTTTTCTTTTAATGCGGCCTTGGCCAAAAAGGAATTCAGAGTTTTCACAGCATCTTCAAACTGGAACGCATGCTGATTTTTATAGGCTGTTCTTTACTGTGTGGGCTCCCGGTGGTTTTCTACTGCCCCTTCGGATAACGAGATGCGCTTTTATTGTCGGAGCGTTGAAACATGCCGACGACAGGCATTTATGCAAATATTATGAAGGCACAATGCGCTTGCAAGTGTCCTTGTCAAACATGTTGATGATGGAGGAGGAGAAGGAGGAGGAGGAGGAGGAGGAGCGCTCGCCCAGAGCAAAAGTGGAGTCGATTAGATCCAGCGTGACAAAAACATATTTACCGTGTTAAATCACCGCTCCCCTATTCAGGCCCACTCCTAACATCACACGCTTTGCAGCTAGCCGCTTTGCTTTGGTGCCTAATGCCCATGTCCTTTGGTTCAACCCTTTAACAGGGGGGCAGGAAACTCCACATCTGAAGTGAAAAATCTCTTCACAGTAGAGTGGCGTCGAGTGGAAAAACATGTCGCTTGATTCTGGAAACACAACAGCCTAATTGAATTGATTTGGGTTTTTTTCTGCAAAAGTTGAGCTTTTTGCTTTTGAAGGAAAAGCCAATTGTGTGAATTGTGGTTTCACACAAAAACAATGCAAACAGTGGACGCTCAGCTGCTTGGAATGGCGATGAATCACATCTCGCCAAATCCTTCTTAGGTTGCCTTCTGCCATGAAATAGCAGCCGGTTTGTTTGTGCAGACGGTGTGAAATGTGCAAGCGTTTCTTTCTCTTTGCCGCAAGCGACGGTTTCAAAATAAAAGCTAAATGGAAAGAAGAAGGGCAAAAGTGTTTCGCTGTGTTGGTGTGAGCCTTTTGTTGCCCCACTTTGCGTGATTATGTATTTTGTAAAGCGCCGAAATGTTTACGCCTCGAGATTGATGACACAAAGCCGCCGTGTGTGTGTGTGTGTGTGTGTGTGTGTGTGTGTGTGTGTGTGTGTGTGTGTGTGTGTGTGTGTGTGTGTGTGTGCGTGAGTGAGACTCACTCATCTTTCCATTCAAGATTAAAAAAAAAAAAAAAAAAAGGCGGAGCGACTATGGCACCGCCCGTTCTTTTTGATACTCACATTCTCGTAAAGTGCTTGTAGGGTCTCCAGATCCACGACTGTGTTGTCCATATTGAGGACGGCTGAGGGATGGATGGAGGAGAGGGTATTAAAAGCAGGCAAGGGCTAGATAAACACAATAGAATCTTGAAAATTGACATCACAACATTAAAGTGGAGCAAGCACGAATGACACATGTCCATCACGACACACCAACAACTTCACCGAGCATTCAAGTGGGGAGAACCTCAGCATATTCATGACTTAGCATTCGAGTCTAGCCAAAAGTAGCACTTTGCTCTATTGTGGCAGGCCGGGGAACTATGTTGAAGTGAGGTGGCGCGCTTCATTTCGACAAACGTGGTCTTGTTCCCAAAGAACTCTGTTGAAGTGAGTAAAGGTGCTGCGTTAAGACAAAAGTAGTGGTTCGCCGCCATCTCGTTGCATCTTAGTGATGAGGATCTCCGTCGAAGTGAGTTGAGGAGCTCCCATAAGAGAAAAGCCGTGCTTTGCCGCTATCTTGCAGCATCTCTGTCCCAGGGAACTATGTTGGAGTGAGTTGAGGAGCTTCCTTAAGATATAAGTAGTGCTTCGACACCATCTTGTGGTATCTATCAGCAGTTATAAAAACCTTTTGAAAGAGCTGTCAGTTACTCTCAGATTTGCCTTCTATTTGGGCAAAGAGCGGGGATTTCACTGCGTTGCTTCGCGACAATAACTGTTCCCCAACGTTCATGTTTCCATCTCAAAAGAGTCGCAGCTCAGGTTGAAAGCGGCGCGAGATCTTCACCCAACATAACCGGCGTGAGGAGGTTATTATGTAAAAATTAATGTTACATTAGGGTGGAAGTGGGGAACAGCTCCCTTTTTCAGAAGTAGGCAGACAAAAGATTGACTTGGTTGTGTAATTTCACACTTGATACCTGGAAAGGCACTCCGGAGACGCAAAACTATTTGCACACAAGCAATAAAATGGCAATTTCCCATAACCTGTCCCCTTTATGATAGCTGAGAGCTGGGCTGCGGTTTGAAGCTGGATGGAAACACGACTCGCATTTTCCCCGCACAGCCCAGCGCGTCATATGAGGCCACGTTCAGATTTATCAGCTCCGGTCGCGATCGGGGCCGCAAAGTACAACCTAAATACGGAGGTCTTCGAAATGCGCCGGTGCTACGCTGACGTGTGTTTGAACTCGCGTGTTTGAATTCCTGCCGTCGCCTTTTTGTCTCGGCGCGAGGACCCAGGCGCCCGCGAGCATTAATCCTTTGAAAGTAAACGTTTAAAGACAAACACGGCCCCGGGGGTCTGAGGCGTTGACGCCGTTGTGTTGTCGCTACGGGTGTGTAATTGCCCGGCAAAACACTCAACGTCGAGACACTTCTATGTTTAGGATTTCATCGGGCCACCTTCGACTCCCCTTGTTCTCTTGTGCAAGGTGTCAGGAGTGTACAAAGAAAATGGAACAAGGTGGAAAAGAGGTTCCCGCTTTGTCTCGTGGTTTGGGTGTGAAACGGCACTGAGCTTCATTATCAGTTGAAACCAAAGATGGAACGTGTTGGGCAATATCTATGTTTTATTTTATTTTATTTTATTTTTTTGATACTAATAGTGAGTTCGTGTTTGGGAGGACAACCTATTAACGTAAACATTTATGTGCTTCGTCGCCTACTGTGGCCTGGCAGACTCGGGTCAGTTAGTGGTCTTTAGAATACAAAGCGAACATGGTGAAGTAGCGTTTACCCGTTATGCTGCACGCAAATGGAATAAGCTGCCTGCAGAAGTCAGGTCAGCCAGGTAGAAGTGCTTTTAAATTCAACGCGAGCGAAGGGGTTTAGTTCGGGCTGAACAATTTTGAAAAATAATCTCACTGCATTTTGCAAAAATTAATATTACAACAAATCTGTTCCTTTATCATTTCTACTTTGAAAAAATAATGCCTACCAGCTGACCAAAATGAAGTAGTTTGGTCCCCCCCCCCCCAAAAAAATTGTAGCCTTTGTTATTTTAAAATCGTGTTCTACTACATTGCGATGCTGATTTTGAATTTGATTTTCTACTTCCCCTTTTTTTTTTTTTTCAACTGACAAGACTCTCAGTCAGTATCGAATATCTTTTTTTTGTGCTCAAATACCTGACTTGGATCTTTTTTTTTCCCCACTGGTGTTTGAATCTATTGTCACCGAGTGAAAAGTGTCAACTACGTTAGCGTCTTGCACTCATCACTTGCTAGCTGAGCATTGAGTGGCTAAATGAACAGAAATAAAACTGCGGCACATGTCATCACAAACACTACTGAGACTGATTTCGAGGGGTAGCCTGGAACAGATTAATGACATTTCAATCCTTTTCAATGAGTAAAAGTCAAGTGCGTCTTATTGAGTTGCCTTTGTCAGGAAATGTCTTGGTACAAGCTGTCTTGAATGCAAAATGTGCCCCCTTGAAGAAGCAAATTTTATGAGGGACACAGTCTGAACTCTGGAATTAATTATTCCAAATATAATTGATCTCAGTGGGCAAGTTTGTTTTGAAACGGACGACTGAAAGAGAAGCGCTTCAAGCCATCGGATCTGCCATCTCGTTCTCCTGAAGCCTCAGAGGAATTCCGAAACCGTAGTTGTTCTTGTCACTCAAAAATAAGTTGCTTGGTTGCCCCTGGATCCTCGTTTGCTTCTCTGCAAACCATTTGCTTTTCATTCAAACGGAATCAGAATCTGGCAAGCTGCTTTTATAAGATTGCAACACCAATCGAGTGGCTCGTTGAAATCTGGCGCATCAGACACCGTGTCACGGGCCGGGTGGACGCGGAACAACAAACAACAACAGCCATGTGTTGACTGGTCACCGAGCAACCGCGCCGACGTACACAAGGGAGCGTCTGAACGTGTCAACCGGGAGTGGTTTTCCCCTTGGAGATGTCGAAACCATGACAGCCGGCGCCGTCTTTATCACCGGCAAATAAAACGCATGATTCACACCATCAAAAGTGATAGTTAATCAAGCGTGTGAAGCGGGGTTCGTTTCTCCGCCATCTCTCAAACATCAGGATGAAGTCCCCCTTCCACTGTCTCTGGGGAACATTGTCTAATGATGCCGCGTTTCCGCCAAAGACAATGGCGGACATCCAACGACCACTGCTGACGCTATCAGTAGGTTGAGCTTCTTTGTGTCTTTTTTTTTTTTTTTTTTTTTTTTTTAATGGCTGGAGGAGTGACACTTTTATTTGCAGACTCCGATTCAAATCTTTTTGGGGGATAGTCATTGATCAGTGAGTGGTTCACAAGTCAATGGCATGGCACAAAAGTCCAGACCTTCACCTATTCCTTCACTCAGTCATGACGTCGGAGCTGAGTGACATGCATGCATCGATCCATTAAACCGGGGGTCGGCAACCTGCGGCTCTGGAGCCGGATGCGGCTCTTTAGCGCCGCCCTAGTGGCTCCTTTGGAGCTTTTTAAAAAATTCCTGAAAAAGGAAAAAGATAGGGGATGGAATGTTTCGTTTTAATATAGTTTCTGTCGGAGGACAAACAAGATACAAATATTCTTAACGTTTTCCAATGCTGTAAAAATGTGTAGAATAAATATTAAATTTCAACATTTCTGTCAACGAAAATTTGCATCATGGCCTGCGACACACTTTTCTATTAGCAAGACGGGATGCCAGGCAGGTGGCTGTTGTTAAAAGAAAAAGGTGTTTTATGTACAATTCACCCAGGGTACTGGCAAAGAATGGGAATCTGGAGGGCCGAGAGAAGCATTTTTAAACAGTACACGTTAACGACGATAGTTAACAGGCTCAGATGCGACCAGCTCAGATGTCTTCGGAATCCCAAACATGAAAACATGCGTTTGGACTTGAACTCGCATAAGCGTCCTGAAGAGGGTTGGACCCAAGCACAAAGTGCACTGGTTCAGTGGTGCGCATACGTCACTTACTAATGTCCCCATTTGTCCATCCGTTCGATATTCTATGACGGTTTCACTATGCTGATCCATCAGGAATTTAAATGAGAAGCAGTTCTCATCGAATGGAACAAGCACAGAACTGAAGACTTTTTCTGTCATAGGATCAATTATTTACAACACGCATTTTTGGTCGTTATCAAGCTAGTGCTGCATAAGACTCACTGTTGGGCTTCGACGAACGTGTATTTGGCCCAAGCTCTTGTATCTGCTCTCTCAACTTGCGCTCTGTGATCCGCCGACGTTTCCAATCAGCGCTAATGGGGCACTACGGTAAAAGTTGTCCTAACATTTGAGATGAACGACAGTGCTGACGAGCGTGGCCCTCGCGTGCCCTCCGGCACTGACCTCTGATGGATGTGCAAATGTTCCAAACCAAATTACGAAACAGTGGAAATGCTTCAAGGGCATCAACAGTGAATTACAGTCACTAAAAAAAAAAAAATGTAAGCATCCAGAATATTTTTCCACGAATTAAATCCATTTTGATGAAAGCATCACAGTGAAGATTTTTCTCCACCCCCAAAGCAAATCTTCTTTGACGAGAGCGAGTGTTTAGACATGTCGATGAGTGACGGCGGCGGAGCAATCAGAGACAAACTAAAACAGGAAGACATTCCGTTATCATCATCATCATCATCATCATCTCCCGAGTGACATCACTTTGACAAAAGACGGCTCGACAACATGATGACAAGTCGGATGCGGTTGTTAGAGGGGATGAAACCAAAAGAAAAGCGCAAAATGGTGGGAGGATGGAGGCAGGGACGCTTTACACAAGCTGCAATATTTTGTATTTCGATCAAAGCGGCGTGGTCGAGTGCAGAGATGAGCAACTGGCCCGCACTCGGAGTTGCGTTTGATTCACTTTTAAAGATTAAAAATGTTTACCGTTGCCGATGAGTTTTTAGTTGAAATAGCAGGATTCACCACTAGGCGGCAGACGTTGCTCAAAAGCACAGGGACTGTGCTTTATTAGAGTAGAAGAGCAAGCCAATTCTGGTCAGAAGCCAAGGCCAAATTAGGCCAAGGAAATGATTTTGTTCAAGTAAAAGAGGAAGCAGATGACAAGTTCCCCAAATGTAAACACAATCCAATCTGCCTCGTTTGCTCAGAAACACTCTCGGTTTATGGAAGACACGTTCTCCAAAAAGTTCAATTCTGATGAAACTTTTACTTGGCCCTCCGCTGAGATTTAACCAGTTCTTCTTCTTTTTGGACTTGGGGATACTTGGATAATTTCCCATTTCCTCACGAGACCTATTAGAAACTCACCATTTTGGATGTCCTTCATGTCAAGATGTATGCTGGACATCAGGATACCGACGGCCTGAGAACGCTTGTTGCTCAAAAGCTTCACCACCTAAAAATCAATGTGGACAACAACAAAAAAGATAACTATGCGAGAGCAACAGTCAAGAAAAAAAACTCTTGAAAGCATTTAATAATTGACATGTTACAAAAGACAGGCTCATTCCCGCCGCTGCCCGCCCCACCAAGCCCCTTTGACATTTTCCTTGTGTGGGAGTGCAACACAAGCCGACTAACCACAAACATTTATATGAAATTATAATGCTGTCTCGTTGATTTATGATGTCTCAATATACTTTACCGCCACCGTCATCTCCAAGTCATGACGAACAACGTCTACGGCTGGTAGAAAAAGAAAACGTTTCATGTTATTATTCGCCAACCAAGGCAAAGATGTTGTAAGGTCAAACTGAAGAGAAAAGAAAAATGATAGTGCCTGAATACACTAACATTAAATCATAGATTTTTTTTTTTTTGCGGTAAAAATACGACGACGACTATGCTGCACTCCATGAGTGTGATGTGTGTAGTTTGGCAGATAGCGAACACTTTTTGAACTACAGTCCAACTGCACTTGCACCAAGTTGTTTGTTGTCACTCAGTTTAAGTTAAACGCACAATTAAATTCACACACGTCTAACAAACGTTCACTAGCTTAATGCTAACACTGTATATGAAACACCAGAAGGGCGCGAGCGAAATTAGCATAGATTCAAATGATTAAGCCTGTGGTTAACGCATATCTTAACCAGTCTATCCATCATTGAACTTGAAAGTAAAGGACTAGCTTCTGTCTGTATCTCGTTTGATGGTCACAAAAATGCCTTCTAGAGTCGCTGCCGTCCACCTTGATCGATGTTCCTTGTAAAGATGATTCACAGGTTCTTGTGGGGATGTCGCAAATGCTTCTGTAGTATATTTCGCATCACTCTTGGCCAAAACATCACTACGCTACGAGCAACCATCGAAAAGTTCCTATGGACCATCCCAAGTTACACGTCATAGATGTGTAGAACTGTTTGGAAATTCGTTTTTGCATATTTCTAAGCCCATTGACAATGTATCTCCTCATGAAATTGGTTCGGGGTGGACAAATTGTAGCTTTTGCTCTTATGAAATATCGGGGTGGGGGGTGGGGGGGGGGCTCCTCCAATCTAAATTTAAAATGACAGTCCATTTTGGGAATTTTCTATGAAACAAGCATTAAGTTCTAATTATTCGGTTTAGATCATTACGAAAGAAATGGGCTCAGGCACGATTTTTTTTTTTGGCGGTCATTTTCTCATTTGCGTTGTGTTTTGAGAACATCCAAAAGCAATGCCATGCTGCCATGATCACTGGCATCGAACCGAACCACATCCATCAATTTGTCTCTCCTCATTTTGTCATTTGTCTCTCCTAATTTGTCACTTGTCTTTCCTAATCATGGAACGGACGCCAGAAAAGAGTTGCTTGGTGATGTGGTCACCGGCTCTCCACGGACGAGTGGGAAGATTGGCAAACGGAACATCCTGGATCACGCATCTTGAAGGTAAAGCAACGCTTACTTGCATGGGAAAACGTCCTTTGCAGTCTGTTACATTGAATAAAAGAAATATAGCTGGAGAATCAGTGGTCAGTGATTTGAGGTGTAAAGGCTAAAAGCATTTTGCCTGTGAAAGCCAAGAGCATCAGATGGCAAATCACATTCAGACACAATCTGGTTGAAAATGTTCAAATGGAAGAAAAGAGAGTACAACGCTTTGAGCTCCATGCTTGCAAATGTTTGGCTGCATGGCGGCCACATTCTGTCCTCACTATGTTCACAGGGAGTGATGAAATGAAGATTAAAGTGATTTAAAGTCCACTTAACTGTTCTCAGAACTGCTTGATTCATTGAAATGAAAAAGAACAGAGGCCGGATACAAAAAGAATTCAAAGCTTTTGATATGAGATGGCCCCCGAAAAGAAGTCAATTGGTCTTTATTGGACTTTTTTTTTTTCGTGATACATGTTCAAGGAAGTATCCAACTTTCACTTCAACGGAAAGTTTTTGGTCGATGTTCGCATGTCGGTTGGAAGTCACCCACTCTCATGAAATCATTTTCATTCCTAAAAACCACATTTCCTCTTCGTAAACTGTCAGATGATTCCTCACGGACGGGAGGAGCACTTCCCCGGAACAATATTATTTGTGCTATTCACAATTGAAACACACAATTTTGCTTTTATCACAAATAATACAAATCATGACAAGAACATGTTTGAATCGCAGATCAAACATTTCGTCGCTGGCTGATTGATGGCGTAGCATGAAGCGTGCTGGCAAAGAGAGACGCTCTGGCACAGAAACGTGAATCACACAGCGAGCACAATGGGAGGAACCACATCATGAAATACGGCTCCCAGGCTTCGATCCCCCAAACCTAACTTCTTTTTTTTTTTTTTCTCCTCCTCCCCCTGCTCTCGATGAGGAGTCATTGCCACCGCGAGGTTTCTTTTCACCGCACGCGAAATACTGGCCGGCTGCCATCATATGGTCAACCGGGAGTCTGACGGGAGCCAGAGCTCACATCACATAACTGCCTCCCTGTAAGCATTCCTCAGTGGGACAAGAAAAGAGCCCTGAGGTATCCCTAAGCATCCAAGTACATATTTATTTTAAAGTTTTTAAAACATCATACCTGCTTGGCTTTGGATTTGCTGATCGTGTCAGAAATTGGCTTTTTCTTTTCCTTGACGGCACTCTTGGAGAAGAGATCCACAAATTCTTCAAAGTCCACGGTTGGTTCTTGAATTTTCTCCCAAACCAATGAACCGCTCTGCCTGCAGAAAGACAGAAATAATGTTCAGTGAAAACACACAAACATGTATAACGAGTACAATACTGCACAAAAGCTATCACGTGTTCAGTTTTAAACCTTTTCCACTGCAGTCTTGGCTCATAAACATTTTTGAGTGTCACCAGGACAAAGAAAGAATCAAAAATTTTTGGGATATATCTGAAGGAAGACTAATTCGATCGAACCCGAACCTCAGAACTGGGAGTCAGACATGCTAACCACGATGTTAACCATGCTGATTTATGAATTGCCAATTATGGGGCAAATTAGGCAGCCTGTTTCTCGTTCTCACTATGATGTGCCTAACTTAATTTAGGAACCAAAATGTGTTGCATGACAATTCATTTGCAGTCACAGTGCCTGGACTGCATCACATTCATTTTCCGCAAGGTTTAGCATCCCTATCGCCTCACAGTATGCGGCAGATCTTTATCTTAAGTGGACAAGTTTCCTCTCTCCTACGTGGGGAATAGCTCGGTGCCAGCGATGCCTATCTGTCTTTGTGTTCTTACTTCTTGGCGTGCAGCTGAATGCGCGTCCAGTAAAGGGGCTTCATTGGCTTGGGGGGCTCAATCACAGCCTTGGCAGGGGCGGCTTCCTGGACCATCTTGGAGAACCCGGGGCCCGGCGGTGGTGGCAGTGGGGGGCCTAAGCCTGGGGGCGGTGGCCTAGTCCAGGTAAAGGTGGTGGAGGTGGGGGACAGGGTCCTAGTCCAGGTAAAGGTGGTGGAGGAGGGGGACAAGATCCTAGTCCAGGTAAAGGTGGTGGAGGAGGGGGTGGACAAGATCCAAGTCCGGGTAAAGGTGGGGGAGGAGGTGGCATCGTCTTGTTTTGCTGCCTCTGTTGGCACGTGCAGACAAAGCCCTCAGGTTTGGGGAGGCCGCTGGTCCCATCCATCTGAAGCCCATCTCCCAGCGGCGAGGTCTGGACAAACGCCTCCTGGCTCCTGCCAACATCCCCGCTGGGTTTCGTCGAGGAAACCTGCTGACTCTGCAGCACGGCCATCTTCACGCGAAGGTCGAGGATGGTCTTCTCCAGCTGGGATATGACGCCACCGTCGTCCTCGGAGGAAGACTGCGCTGACCTCAACCTGTTGGGTTCTGTCTGTCAGCGCACAAGAAACCATGACCAAGTCAAATGTACGGTGCTTAACAGATTCATCAGAACATTGTAACCTAACCTTTACTGAGCCAAGGCACAACATATTTTACATACATACAAAAATCTCACCTCACACCAGCCCAAAAAAATAACAATTCACAAAAAGTACACTGAAATAATAATGATCTTGTCTCACTTTACGAACAAACTGACTTGGTTTGATACCTTGGTCTGTTTAGTTGAACGGGAAAAAAATAAATAATAAACCAAGTGACAGATCGCAACTTGGAAAAAATAATAATAATAACAAATCGAGTCCCTATCAACACTTCTAATTCACTCGGTCATGCAAATGAGAAAGAATAACACATCCAAGCGTGTATGTTGGCGGACTTTTCTAGTCATATCATCTATTATCTTATATATACTGTATCAGTCCCAAATACCCAAATCAAAAAAAGAGCCAGTTGTAAGCTACATGCGGGTCAACAAAGTCTACAATGTCTAGACTCCATCAGACCTCATGGCTCCAGACTGGATGAGTGGGATAGCGAGAGATTTGACCCCAGAGACAGTGAGTCTCGTTGGGCCTCAGATGAGGCGAGGGGGCAGGGTGGACCACTACTACCACAATACATTTGCAAGTTGTGGTCGCATAGTTGAACGGAAAGAGAACGTTCAGCCATTCTCTTATTTATTAGTTCTTGCACGAAACAAGGGGTCCCCTGTGCTTGGTCAAATGAGACAAGCCTGACCTCTGGTGGCAACCTTTGGATTTTGATATTGTGTCCATATACAGTATATTGGATTAGTGGACATGCTATAAGGGGGTGGGGGCGGGTTGGGGGGGGGTCACTTAGGCTCATAATGTTTCCCGGGGTCCTTACGTTTTTTTCCCCCTTGCAGTACCCACAGATGCTACCAACCTGAGGTTGAGATGGTACTGCTGACTGGGTCTTCAAAGGTAATCTGGAACTCTGCGGTCTGGTCGGTGTTCTCCCACCGTAGAGCTCCCATAGGTGCGAGGACACCGGCAGCCCCACAGTCGCCCACGTGTACAGCTGCTCCCCCTGCAGGCAGGTAAGACAGAGTGGCAAATACATGGTCGCTTCCTATGACAAAGAACCAAATTGTACTTTCTATTCATTTATTCATTTTGTGTCGTGCTTGTCCTCATTAACGTCGCCATCAGGTGAGCTGGCGCTTATCCTTGCTAGCTTGGGGCGAGAGGCGGGGTACACCATGGACTCGTCAATTACTGGGCACTGTTCAGGATCACAAGAAAAACTGGAGCCTGTCCCAGTTGACTTTGATTCAGAGCCACAATATAAACCAAGCTTGTCAAACTATTTCTTTTTTTTTTCTTTTGTCAGCACTAACCTGTGAACGTGTGAGGACGCAATTACGTCCGGCTAGTTAATGCCTATACGCATAGCCACTTGGGTGTTCACTGGCGGTGTTACTTGAGGTGTTTGTTAATGTGCTTGTGTTAACTGTGTTTTGTTATTGTTTGTTTAATAAAGTCATTGGAAGAGTCCCAATGGTCGTTTCTGACTTAACCACCTGTCCTGGATTACAATTCGCTCTCATTAGCCGTGTTGGGCTATATTTAATTAGCTAACAAAAAAATTTTAATTCACGATGCTCTGAACCCACAATAAGTCTCAACCGTTATTTAGCAAGTGTTAACTGTATGTCACTTCATACACAGTTGACCCTAGATTTGATATTATTAACAACAAATTGATTATAAAAACAAAATTATGGCAAATTCAATTAACATAAAAACACCATAAAATAAAATGTGTTTCCTTTCAGGCATATACAAGCTGTAAATAAGATCGAATGTTTTTTTCTTTCTTTCAGTGAACACACTGTACTTCAATTATGTTGAACAAAAAGCACAGCTCATGTTTAATGTCTCCCCAAAGCTAATTAATTTCAGCCACTTATGCTTCATGTCCCCTAAAGGCAATTAAATGTTCCATTTTTTTCCCCCCCTTTTCTTTTTACCGCCTTCACATGATGCTAAAGCCTTTGCATCTATCTCCAATATGCACAGCATGAGTTTTAAAAGAGAGAAAAAGTGAATGCACAATCCCCAGAGTTATTTTTGGCAAGACTGACTAATTGAATAACGAAGGACTGTGCTGGTCCAAACCTCTGACTGAATAGTTTTATTTTTTTTTTTTGCCTGGAATGAGCAGGATGGCTAAACTGGATAGAGTCACGTGGAGCGGTTACATAACATGGTCAGCAGATGGTCTACGCGAGCATCGGCGATTGTGACCGTGTGAGTGGGTGTCGGAGGCGTTTTAATCCAGTCATGCGTGGAAAGGCCATGAACGTGGATGAGTGTGTTTCAGGATGGCCTTTTGTATCAAACAAGAATGCCTTTCCTTAAGACGCACGCATCGCCGGAAGAGATGACATTGAAAAGCCAAGGAACTACAGTGTGCTTGTAACCACTTAAGATTAAAAACTAAACAGGGGATTTAAATATAATGACTGTCAAGAACGATATCAAGACTTTTTACCCTGACAACTGAGTTTGCAACATGCCCTGCGATTGGCGGGGGGGGGGTCACTTAGGCTCATAATGTTTCCCGGGGTCCTTACGTTTTTTTCCCCCTTGCAGTACCCACAGATGCTACCAACCTGAGGTTGAGATGGTACTGCTGACTGGGTCTTCAAAGGTAATCTGGAACTCTGCGGTCTGGTCGGTGTTCTCCCACCGTAGAGCTCCCATAGGTGCGAGGACACCGGCAGCCCCACAGTCGCCCACGTGTACAGCTGCTCCCCCTGCAGGCAGGTAAGACAGAGTGGCAAATACATGGTCGCTTCCTATGACAAAGAACCAAATTGTACTTTCTATTCATTTATTCATTTTGTGTCGTGCTTGTCCTCATTAACGTCGCCATCAGGTGAGCTGGCGCTTATCCTTGCTAGCTTGGGGCGAGAGGCGGGGTACACCATGGACTCGTCAATTACTGGGCACTGTTCAGGATCACAAGAAAAACTGGAGCCTGTCCCAGTTGACTTTGATTCAGAGCCACAATATAAACCAAGCTTGTCAAACTATTTCTTTTTTTTTTCTTTTGTCAGCACTAACCTGTGAACGTGTGAGGACGCAATTACGTCCGGCTAGTTAATGCCTATACGCATAGCCACTTGGGTGTTCACTGGCGGTGTTACTTGAGGTGTTTGTTAATGTGCTTGTGTTAACTGTGTTTTGTTATTGTTTGTTTAATAAAGTCATTGGAAGAGTCCCAATGGTTGTTTCTGACTTAACCACCTGTCCTGGATTACAATTCGCTCTCATTAGCCGTGTTGGGCTATATTTAATTAGCTAACAAAAAAATTTTAATTCACGATGCTCTGAACCCACAATAAGTCTCAACCGTTATTTAGCAAGTGTTAACTGTATGTCACTTCATACACAGTTGACCCTAGATTTGATATTATTAACAACAAATTGATTATAAAAACAAAATTATGGCAAATTCAATTAACATAAAAACACCATAAAATAAAATGTGTTTCCTTTCAGGCATATACAAGCTGTAAATAAGATCGAATGTTTTTTTCTTTCTTTCAGTGAACACACTGTACTTCAATTATGTTGAACAAAAAGCACAGCTCATGTTTAATGTTTCCCCAAAGCTAATTAATTTCAGCCACTTATGCTTCATGTCCCCTAAAGGCAATTAAATGTTCCATTTTTTTCCCTCCCTTTTCTTTTTACCGCCTTCACATGATGCTAAAGCCTTTGCATCTATCTCCAATATGCACAGCATGAGTTTTAAAAGAGAGAAAAAGTGAATGCACAATCCCCAGAGTTATTTTTGGCAAGACTGAGTAATTGAATAACGAAGGACTGTGCTGGTCCAAACCTCTGACTGAATAGTTTTATTTTTTTTTTTTGCCTGGAATGAGCAGGATGGCTAAACTGGATAGAGTCACGTGGAGCGGTTACATAACATGGTCAGCAGATGGTCTACGCGAGCATCGGCGATTGTGACCGTGTGAGTGGGTGTCGGAGGCGTTTTAATCCAGTCATGCGTGGAAAGGCCATGAACGTGGATGAGTGTGTTTCAGGATGGCCTTTTGTATCAAACAAGAATGCCTTTCCTTAAGACGCACGCATCGCCGGAAGAGATGACATTGAAAAGCCAAGGAACTACAGTGTGCTTGTAACCACTTAAGATTAAAAACTAAACAGGGGATTTAAATATAATGACTGTCAAGAACGATATCAAGACTTTTTACCCTGACAACTGAGTTTGCAACATGCCCTGCGATTGGCGGGCAACCGGTTCAGGGTGTCCCCTGTCTACTGTCCGAAGACAGCTGGGATAGGTTCCAGCACACCCCGCGACCCTTGTGAGGATAAGCGGATCAGAATATGGATGGATGGATGAATATGAATATGCTCCCAGCGTAGCAGCCGTGGCTAATGTTAGCTTGTTTACAGAACGAATGGTTAGCTTAGTATTTCTAGCTGCTGTTTTGTTGAAGCTGGGCAGTGTCCTCGGTGACTATTTACTAAAACTACACACTTGCACAATTGCATGCCATGTTTGAAAACACTGCAGTAGTACTGTAGTTTTTTTTTTATTACCAATAAAAGCTTGCAAAATGTTGAGTTTTCCCATATGATGTAATTTCTAGCTATGAAGTTTCAGAAAGAATATTCATCAATGTCTACTAGATTATTATGTCACATTGCTGCATTCTTATGATGAAAACCTGATGTGCTAGACTAAAAAAAAAAAATCAGATTAAGGATTAACGCAAATAAAATCATCTAGAAATGTGTACTTGCATCTCTGATTCAAACAGCGAGTTCATTTGTTGACCAGTGCAAAATGTATTTTCAACTTGACACATTTCAATGTCTGTACTTTATTTTCTTCTACTTTACCCAAATTCTTGTTGACACAAGTACTTCTACTAAAGTGCAGCGTGTGAGTACATTTGCCACCTCCGCCCATGAAAAGCATGTCTGGATAGATGAGAGTGATGGCATTGTGCACCTTTCCCTCAATGCTTGTATTTTAATTAGCCTTCCTATTTGTGGGGTGCGGTCTTACGTTAAAAGCGGGCTTGGCGTCGCCGCGGCGGGCCCCTCCGTTGTCGCTGAAGGGGTGCAGCAGGCCCTGAGTCAACATTCGCCAACACATTTCCTCGGCCTGCTCCTCTGACGAGCCGTCCTCCTGGTTCATGCACAGCCTGTCCAGCAGAGCGCGGCCTGAAGACACACTTCCATTAGTGACATCGTTTTGCGGAATGGGAAGAACTTCATCCTTCAGACACACAACGCAGACTCGTCTGAGGAGTTGACGATAGCGGCTTGTTTAAAATAGACATGAGACTTTGGAAGGTGATAATTAAACACTTGCAAATTTCTGCCACGTGATGTTAAGGCGTTAACGATGCAGCTCCACCTGATTTTGTCATGCAGCGCAAAGGGTACACAGTTATCAGAGGGTACACACACTTATGCAAACACGTGATCTCAGTTACTTAATTTGATTGCTATTTTTCATTTGCCCGTTTAGGGTGTTTTGCAAGAGTTTTCATGAAGGTAGCAGACTTTCATTTGACGAAATGAAGGTTAATAATTATGCTTTGGTTGACCATTTTGGTGGGCTTTTAATTCAATATTACTTTCTATCTGCCAGCTTTGTGATAAACTTCAACTGGGAGTGACACGCCGCTTGAAGCAAGCACGCTGGGCTTCTGTATGAACGAGAGCAAGAATAGGTGAAAAGTTTTTAAAAGTATGTGGGAGTGTTTTTTTTTTTTTCTTTTATGATTTTGCTATATTTTCACCCATACTGGAAACAAAGGAAGCTAAATAGTAACAGACATGGAATTTCAGTTACATTTTTCATTGGAGACTTCATTGGGTACACCAGCATGTGTATAACTTTTAATACAGTATCTGTAGAACTGCATTGCATCATAGTGAGGGGGGCCTTTTGATGTCTTTTCCCGCGCTCCAGTCTGGCTAAACCATATACAACATAAATAACACAGTTTAGTATTATGTATAAATTGACCCATCTGACAGCGTCTTTCCAAACCGAGCGCTCGTAATTTTGTAGCGGCCAAATTTATCTTCCAGCTCCTGAACCGGCTGTCGTGAAATTGTGCGAGAGTAATTTTAAGAGACTTTTGGGGACAGCTGCGCACACAGGATGCTGTATCATAATTCAACCAAAGTCTAAAACTGTATTCCAGTCGCCGAAGAAATCAAGTTCAATAAAAGGAAAAGGGAATAATGTCAATTTTTCCGCATGGCCGGCTCTTGCAAATCCTTGTGGCTCTGCTTCCCCCTTCGACGTCTTCCCTCCTCAGGGCTGCGTGTGACCTGGAAAGCTCCACAAAATTCCGCAGCATCACATGCGGTGCTGACGGAGTGCACGGTGAGACCAAGCGCACGCCCTCGCACACTGTCGGAATTCTTGAGATTTGCAACAGCGAAAGGACACTAATGCAACTTGTTTGTTAAAAGAATGCACCTCTTTGTTGGATTGGGTCTGATGAAATTTGAAATGACGTCACGTCATGACTCATATTTGCCACGCAGATAAAGTGCCACTTTGGCTTAGCATCTCCACTGATGCATTGTGGGTAAATGTGTGTATCGCCATGTCGTCAGTTGTTGTAGGGCACACAAACACATGCACACATCGGAAAGCAGCTGAGCTCATTTAATGCGTCAGAAGAGGAACAAGGTAGCATTGTTTTAATAGACAGGCCTTATAATGACGCACAGTCAATAGAGCACCTCGAGTGTTCTATGTCGCCTTCACTTCCAATCATAACTCAGATTTTCGAGCAAAGGTTATTTTCTGAACGGGATTAAATTTGCGATGCAAATTAGGATGATTTTTTTTTTTTTTTTTAAACAGTTCCATAATAACTTTTTGGTCAAATGCAGATTGAGCTTTGTGGTCAACAAATGATGAAAAACCAGCATGACACACCATTTGTTAATTTTCTGTGTGTGTAATTAAAAAAAAAAAAAAAAAACCAAAAACGTCTTCATTCACACTTGATTTACAAAGTCCCGATAGGAAGCATGCTATCATACACCACTGAGTCACTAAACTGGTCTTGTGCTAACTAGTCAACATGTTTGCGTGACCGTTAGCTGATCAAAATTGCCCAGATTGAGACTGAATTTGGTAATTTGGTCTGTTTTTCTGCCGCACGCTCCTGGAATGCGGCACAAACTCAGGTCAACACAATTGTACCAAGATTATGATTAAGGACTATTTGGCTTTGGACTGTATCCATTTTTTAGGTTGGCTCTGTTGTAATTTCTGTACGATGTCCTCATTGGAAATGAGGCCTCAATCATCTTTCGAGATTTAAAGGTCTGAACTATTCTACGACGCATGCGTCCAACTGCTCCAAAAGACCCCGCGTAAAATTGCAAAGCTGCAGCTGAAACTTGATCTTTGAGCCGGCAGAGAATGACAAACAACGCATGTTTCATCGCAACTCACCGGAGAAGATGTCCAGGTAGGAAGCTGCCCCCCTGGAAGACCTGGAGTGTCCATACTGGGCTCTCCTGGAGCCCAGCGTCCAGTAAGCGCCACCACCCGCCGCTCCCTTCTCCGCTTGCTCTGGTTCCAAGAAGACGGCGCCATCTCCGCCGTCTGGCTCTCCGCACCAGTCGGCCGATGCGCCGAGTGGCCCCGCGATGGAGCTGGACCTCTGCTTGCGGCCCCTGACTCCCTGGAAGACTTCGGGTTCCCCAGAATCTGTTCTCCTGGGGACACAGGGGCTGGTGAGCGGAGAGCCGATGGGGGACGTGAGTTGCCTGGTGGTGGTCTTGACGTATGAGGGGAACACCGGCGGGTAGAGTTTGACAGTGGACGGGGACGTGGCCGATGTGGGTGCGGTTGGGCTCTCGGTCGTCAGCAGGCCATTGGAGAGGCTACTATTCTTCCTCAGAGACGGGAAGTCCCGTCCGGTATTGTGGTCTTCCTTCCCTCGCTCCGAAGACAAGTCCATGCTGCTTGCGCTCTTGTGAGCGACCACGGGGCCTGGACCTCCAGGTTGGACCCGGTCACACGGCGCAGCAGGTAATTTGCCTTGAGGAGTCCAGTTATCTTGAGTGCGGCGCGGGACCGGGCTCTCCAGGTCATCCTCCGCACTCTCGTAAGACGAGGGGGTGGTGGTCAAAGTGTCCGGGAAGCTGTAGGTGCTATTGGTCTTTGGAAAAAGGCTTCCGCTGCTCCTCTCCGTGTCCGGCGCGGAGGACGGTGGTCCGATCTCGCTCGGCGATCCGGGCGCAGACAGATCTCGAGACATGAGCGCGCTTTCATTCTCGGGTTTGTCGTTCTGACGGGAAGGGACGTCCTTGTCGAAGATCAAAGTTTGATGGGGTAAAAGCTTCTCGGCGGCGGCACCGCTTCCCCGGAAGGCGGAGTCTTCGCGCTGGACCCTCATGGCTTGTTGGATGTCGGACAGAAGATCCTCGGTGTCGGCGGCCGCCGAGTGGAAACTGTAGTCGTCCACGTCGGATCCCCAGCCGGCCTTGTGGCACGATTCGTCGGCGATGGATTGCCGGCTGCTTGCCGTCAAGCGGCTTAGATCGCCCTCAAAATCCGACAGCATTCCCATCTCATCGGCAGATAGGCTGGCCCCCGTTCCGGGTTTAAGGCCCGCTTTTACCGACCTTTCGTCATCCAGCAAGTCATCCTTGGACAATCCCTTGGCCTTGGAAGTCCTCCTGAGCTTCATCCCGGAGAAGACTGAAACCTTGGAATCCGACTTGGATTTCCTCTTCTCGTTTTGTTCCCCTTTGCCGGTCTTGTTGGACTTTTTGGATTTCTTCTCGGCTTCCCTCTCGCCGGCCTCGCACGAGCCATCCTTGCCTCCTGCGCCGTCGCCTCCTTTCTTCTGCTTGGCCTCCTGGTTGCCCATGCTGCGGAGCAGGCGGACCCCCCTGGCTAAGAGGCCGTGCTGCTGGGGTCGAGGGTGGGCATGCGGCCGGGGGTCCTCGCGGGATCCTCGGCCAAATCCCGCCGTCGGAGGCGGCTGCGAGGATGCTGCTGCCGGTGATGACGAGAGGAGGCGGAGACTGGCGGTGACAGCTGTGGGCTCGCCGCCACCGACGCTCATTCCCCGCTCGCCACCCCTCCCAGTCGGGGCTTCTCTGGCGCTCTGATCCTTCCCCTCCCTTTGCCCCTCCTTCCCGGCCCCATCTGCTCCCCTCCATTCAGATCTGTTGCATAACGGGCTGCTGTTGGAGCGAAAGCGCCGATGCTCGGAGGGTAAAGCGGAGAGATGCTCGGGAAGACCGGAAATGTACGGCGCTGGCGGCTGTTGCTGAGCTCCCAAAGAGGGCTGCTGGCGGCGTGGGACGCTGGCGGCGCTGCTCTTCCGCTTGTTTTTGAAGGTGCTGGTGAAGAAACTCTCTTTGAGAAAAGGCACTTGGGTCTCCACGGTCTGGATCGTTTGCATCGTGGCCACTGTGGCGTCACTCTCGGCGGAGGACCGGCGAGTTTGGCTGATGCGAAGAGAGGAAACACACGTTTAGCTGATTCGTTTGGTTTTGAGGCATCTCGGACGAATAAATTTGAATAATTCTGATCATGATCGATCTGTCTGAAGGCGTTTCTATCCGTTTTATGTGAACTGGGAAGGCAGTGCTGCACCCTGCGGTGGAAGGGATGCAACAAGTAGCAAAATAAGAGAGCACATGACAAGGCAGGACGGGGCGCGACAGGAAACGACAAAATCGGGCTCATCTGATTTTCAACGAATAAAAAAAATATATATTCACAGCAGATACTGACCAAATTCCAGTAAAAGGAAAACCTACACGAAAAGGAATATATGATTACAAATATAATATCTAAGTGTGCCGCTGATTATATCCGACACGACCACTGAGTTGATCCAACGTTGACAAACATTTCTGTTTTTTTGCGCACAATTCCACCCCCCCGCTCACCCGACTAAGCCAGCGAGTGTCCTTTGGTCCTCTGAAAGGCATTATGTAACTCAAAGCCATTCTTAGGATTCAAAATGAGATACTCCAACTGTGTTAAGTAACTTCTGTGACTGAAGCTACTGTATTTTTTCGAAGCTTCATTCAGTCAGCTTTAGATTTTTGTAGTTAAGATGACAACACATTTTTTCCCGTGCGCATGAACAAAAATATAGATACACACATTTTTTTGTGTACCCATAAGACTCATGTACAGTGAGACAAACTGAATCAGATGGTGAATCGTTCATGGAATTTGGACCTCAGCTGACATGTACAAAAAGAAGCCAGTCAGTACATAACGGTGACTAATTCTTGTTTTCATAAATAATTACTTGCAACCATTTTGCGTCAATTTGAATCGAGATGTCAGCTGACATGTCAAAACAGAAGCCAAAGGTTCAATCCCTGACTTTAATTTACCATGTCTTATTTTCCATCATTTGGTCATTTTTCATGTGCGCCACGGTCATCAAAAAAGCAGCACAGTCCAACTCTAATAATCAAGATGTACTTTATCCTTGTGTTTTTTTTGAAGTATGACTCAAGTGTGCCGAGAAGACGACAAAACATAACAAATCTTCTAGTTAGAATGTTTAAAAGGCCCACTGAAGCCCACAACTATGGAAAAGTCAAGTTCCTCCTGAACACATCTTCCAAACGAGCTCGCCTTCTGTCAAACCGTCTCTTTAAAAAAAGCGCATCAAGTTGAATATGGAACATGATGAAATGAGAAGAGAGAAAGGAGAGTCGACTTGCCTGAATGCGGCGCGAGCAGACTGACTGAAGAAAACAACACAGGCGGGTGTTTGTCCTCTTCTACAAGCCTCTCCTTAGCCGTGGGTCACATGAAGTTGCCGTTTGCCTCATCACATGTCTGCTTTGCTCGGCCATCTCCCATTAGAACCCCCGCCCGCTGCCACCACCGCCCCCAGTGACTTTATCAGCGGTCTTAGCTATAACAACGCGACACTAGTGGGAGAAATACATTACGGGACCATATTTGTTGAGGTGCTGTGTCACATTGTGGAGAAAGGTGAACAACGCTTGGAAGACACAAGTGTGATGAGTGATGCTCATCCTGGTGGCTCTTTTAAGGCCGTCCCATGACTCAAGACACAGGTGAAGGCATTCTCCAATCAGCTGTGAGTGACTTCGGCCAATGTCTCCCAACCTTGATTGAGTCCAGCCACGTATTTTGCATTCGGAAAATCTCACAGGACAACACCACATAAAAATGTCACAAAAGTATAGAAATATTTAGTCCCGCAACTAATGATTATTTTCATGAATTGATGACATTCAGTCATCTAGTGCAGTGGTTCGTATTTTTCTTTATTGATTTATTTTAAACATACGCCACCTCCAAAAAAGATTTGGCTTCCAAGTACCCCCCATACTAACTATAATTATTAAGCGTTCAGCAAAAATGAGTTATGTGCTTTCCTTACTAATGTAAGGCATCATGCACAACTTAAACATCAACACTGTGCTTAAATATGTATGTTTTTAATACTAAAATTGATTGACCATAGATACGTTTCATAAAAATATTACCTATATTAATATTTGAAAACAAAAGTGTAATGGAAATATATATATCTTTTTTTTTTTAAGTTGAAGCCACACGTGCAGTTTGAGCATCTATTTACATTACTGTATATCAATTCCACGACAAGACCACTAGAGGGAGCTAGCGCAGATCTCACTTCACATTCAGACTGGCAAGTGACAGCTCAAAGGGACTGGAGCCCCAGTCGAAATAAAATAACTGCTGGAAATAACACAATATTAGTTTGTGCCACAATCATTTTGCACCATTTATTGACTTGAAAGATGATTGGCATACCGGAAACGTAACAAAAAGACATTTGTGTTCACCATGTTTACATTCCCGATATTTGAGAACAAAAGTTCCCCACCGATGTAAAAAGTCTCCGTGTTGAATGCATATCAAATACCGAGTGCTGAAAGAACAACTTTTTTTTTCTCTATACGGTACATAAAAGTAGAATGGCAGCTGCCCGTCCACGCTTTTCTACAATATGACACGTGACACATTAGGCTGCTGCAAGCAGACACTGTACGTAAAGATGGATACAACAACAGCAGCTTTCAATCACACGTCACATTCCCTTTTTTTAATGCTAACAAATCCATCTATACATTTTGCATCCTCCCAACTGACTGACTGGTCGCTAGTCGAGCTCAGGGCAAATATAGACAAACAACCATTCAACACACTCATGATGTACGGCATTAGAGCTGCAGCTAACGAGTATTTGAATAATCAATGAATCTTTCGGTCATTCATTAAAAAAAGGACATAATTTCCAATTTAATAGTGCAGAAATTGCACAAACATAAATTATTGACCCTTCAGTTACTGCTTTGCTTTGAAACACGTCAGAAATTAAGCAAAGATACTGCTCGTTGTTTTCCAAAGTAAATGTTTGCAATTGATTTATTTTGATTACACACATTCTACTTTCTCTTCTTACTTTCTGAAAAAGAAGTAATCAATTTGCTATCAATTCATTGATTGTACTTTACACTGATGTCTAGGGGTGTGCATCTCTCAATAAGACACAGTTCGATACATATCTCGCCAGACGGGGTGTAACATGAGTCAAGGACGTTAAAGTGTTTCAATTCGGTTTGGTTAAGTCAAAACCGAGTTCCGATACAAATCGGAAAGTAATTTACAATTATATTGTTTATCGGACATCTTGGATTTGGGGGCTATTTTGAGCGGCGAAAAGTATTTTTGAAAAGCGTGGGAATTAAATATTACACGGACGTACGGACGCCATTTTATATCCCATCCAACACAAAGTTATATGTAGGTAGGAAGGCAAATGTCATGCTTATATACCCATTGAAATGATTCTTGAACTCATCGGCTCCGTTAGCGTGACTGCTTAATTTTCTATATGTGCCCTGCCATTGACTGGCAACCAGTCCAGGATGTGACAAGTGCCAAAAAAATAGCTAGGTTAGGCTCCATTTTACGCTATATAGAAAATGGGTGGATGGCTCGAGCAACGTTTTGGGATTTGTGAAATTGCCAGTCTCCCCCTCGACCATTCACTTACGACATGGAGCTGTGCTATTTAGTTAGGGCCTCTTTCACAAGCGGCCACCAAAGGTTACTCAGCAGTTTAAAATCATTAGTTTGTCCACGCTTTATATACAGTCAATAGATTTGAACACGTTATGTGGATTAAAATCAATAAATCTATAAATAGAATACATATGATAGAAATAGTATACACGGTATCATCAAGTTGTCGAGGTAAATTTGAATCGGTTACAGAAACACAATCTGATTTAAAATGTCACTTACTTTTTTCCCCCCACAAACTGCGTCTTGGGTTGTGATTGGAACTGCACGACAGACAAGCGAAACTGTCAGTGAGCATGTTATGTCCTCCTCTCACCACTAGAGGCTGCCCGAGCTCCACAGCTAAGCAAAAAAAGGGCTCCATCGCGAAGTGACGAAAGTATTACAGTTGAAAGTTCAAAAAAGGTCGCGTGAAAGAAAATCGACATTTTGTGTGTGTGTTTGTGTGTGTGTGTGTGTGTGTGGGGTTGTGGTGGTGGTGGTGGTGGTGGGGGGGGGGGGTCTGTAAAAGTACACTAACAATATCATCACCAGTATCAGAATCATCATCATCACAATGACGTCAAGTACATGAACACAACCGGATGTACTCGTCGTGGCCATTGTTTTCCAAAGCACAACAATCACATTGTATCACAACAGCGGCTCACTGACTGCGGTGCCACACAGAATACACAAAAGAAGAAGAGTCATTTTCCAACTGCCTCAAAAGTTCCAGATGAGCAGCACAAAAAATAAAAGCTCTGGTGGACGCCATTTTATATCCCATCTAACACAAGTTATATCTAGGTAGGAAGGCAATGCACAGAAGATCTGATTCCAAAACAAACAAACAGAAAATAACATGCCAGTCAAAAAGTCGAGGCCCAGTTAACACAACACACAGTATGTCTTGGCTTTTGGTGAAAAGTTACAGATGCAAAGTTTCGTTTGCTGACAAAAGGCAAAAGCACTTGACTCTGCACGTTACAAATCTAGCTAAAGACAAAGAGAAAACGGTCAGAACCGACGAGCCCTAACCGTGTGACAAAGCTTTCTTTTTAACCTTGAGTCAATTGCACTTTAATGCTCCAGCCCACAACAAAAGATGTTCAGTTCTGTTTCAAGCCCTTTTCAAGCACATCCCGCTCGCTTACTCGAAGATAAACAAACCTACATGAATCGGTAGAGTTCTTCCAGAAGAGATAGCCGTCTTGCGTTTCTGGATCCCACCTTGCACAGCCCTTCTTGCATGCACACGGACACGAGCACATACATCGAAACCGCTGCAAAGGATTGCCCTTTGAGAAGTGCCTTAGAGAAACTCCCAAAAGAAGCCTGTGGATGCTTCTTATTATTCATTTGATGCATCAAGCCGCTCTCCTGTCCCTTACGTGGACTCTCTGGGAAGCCCCCTGTGGAAGACCACGGACTGCCTTTGCTGGAACTGCAGCTTCCTCCGTTTTGTCTGGTCCCAGCGGCACAACAGGATCATCTTAAAGGTGGTGCGGAAGGTCTTGTTGCACAGGGCGTAGCACATGGGGTTGACGGTGCTGTTGACGTAGCATAGCCAGTAGCCCACAGCCCACAGGGTTTTTGGAATGGCCGCTTCGGAGAAGGCATTGATCAGGACCATGATGTTGTACGGCGTCCACGTGATGATGAACGCAAAGAGAATGGCGCTGAGAGTTTGAGCGGCCTTCTTCTCTTTCACCAAGGACATACGCTTCCTCTTGGACATCTGAGTCCGAGCTCGGACCGCAAAGCGCTTGGCGAGAGCTGCCTCTTTGATAGACATCGGAACGGAGGAGGATTTGGTGGATGTGCTGGTGGCGGTCGAGTCGGGGAGCGCGGCCGTCGCATCGTCCAGAGATCCAGAGTTCGAAGTCACCCGCATGCTCGGCAAGGACTGGATTTTGCGCGAACAGAAGCGTTGGTGGTAGTTGTTTTCACCGTCGTTAGCCCCATCTGGGCTGGCGGCCACGCTGGTGTTTGTAGCGACGGCGGCGAGGCTGTCTCTGTTGTATTCCGCCCCTCTTAGAGGGTCCTGTTCTGAGGCTTCGTCCAGGTCTTCGCAGGAAGTGAGCTGGGAGTTGACAGCCGCTTTTATGCCAGGTAGGCTGAGAACGATCGAAAAAATAGTGTGGCTGTCTCGCCCCCCGCAGTCTTCGTCATCTGACGAGCCCGACTGGTCCAGTGAGACCGCGTTGTCGTTGTTGTTCCAACTGTCACTACTGCTTTGGTCGGCATCCCGCTCTCCTTGCCGAATACTGCCAGGCCTCCAGGATTGAACCCCGGGCCAGCAGTGCAGGCGGCTGACCAACTCCCGACACGCGCTCTTTCTTTGGGACAACCTGGTCAGCTCGTAGCTGTTGCAGCTTCTGGAACTCCCGGTTTGACGCGCAAAACGGGCTCGATCAACCCCGCCGTTGCCGTTTCTTGCCGCGACCCCGCCGCCGCCGCGGGCCCCGGAGCCCTGCAGTCCGGCTAACTCTTTGGAGCGGTTTTCCGTCTCCTTGTAAATCCGCCAGTAAAGCACACTCATGATGCTTACCGGCAGGTAGAAAGCCGCCATGGCTGTGCAGAAGGTTATAATGGGCTGCTGGAGGAACTGAATGTAGCACTTATTCGGAGGCACTGTCCTTTGACCCTCAAAGTACTGCCACAGAAGGATGGCGGGGGCCCATAGAACCAGAGAAACAAACCAGGCCAGGCCGATCATCATCCCGGCTCGCTTTGTCGTCCGTTTGGCCCGGTACGTCAGAGGCCTGGTTACCGAAAAGTAGCGATCAAAGCTGATGACCAGCAGGTTCATCACTGAAGCGTTGCTGGCCACGTAGTCAATAGCGAGCCACAGGTCGCAGGCCCAGTTCCCTAAAGCCCAGTAATCCATCACCAGGTAGGCTGTGTAGAGGTTCATCGAGATGACCCCGATGATGAGGTCAGCTACCGCCAAGCTCAGCAGGAAGTAGTTGTTGACCGTCTTTAACTGGCGATTGACCTTGAAAGACACCACCACCAGGATGTTCCCGATGATGGTGACCAGCGAGAGCGTTCCCGTCAGCAGGACGATGAGGACCACCTGCCACACGGTGTGCCCGCCCAAGGGATCCGGGCCCGACGTCCCGTTCCCATCTTGTGATTGGCTGGAGTTAAAGAGGGAATTCGCAGAAGAGGAATTGGCGCCCGGGGTGGTCATGTGAAAAACCAACCATGGTCCTGTCCCTGCTTGATGGAAAGAAGTGGTTTGTGGGGACAGTCCGACTGCTGCTCCTGCTGCTGGGAAGGTGTTGGAAATCAGGAAGAGACCAGAAGAGTCTGTGCTGTTGGAGCTCATCGTTATGTCCTGGCATGTTCTGATGAAGAGAAACAGTGAAGAGGGAAAGACACGTAAGACACAAGGAAGTAGTGCGCGCACAAGTGCACACAAAATTCATTTCAAAATGCAGTTGCGTTAAGTGTCCACCAGGTGACGGTAGAAAGCTACTTCATCTTTGATACCGTTCACTTGCATAACGTGTCAGATAAATACTTCTTGACACTGCAACAATGTTAGACATCATACGTACAGTATTGAGAATCAATATTATGCAAATTACTGCACAAGGCTTAGTATATCATCCACATTCCTACCTCTCAATCTACACTTATTGTTCAGATGTGACGACATGAGTAGCACATTTACATTTCATTAGTTTGCTGTACAAAGTTTCAACAATAGAACAATAGAACATCCCTGTCAGCAGTTTCATAGACTTTCGGCTGTCCACTTTTGTAATTTATCATTTTATCATGACATAGCATTGTCAATAATATTGTGCCACTTCACACCAATTGTGGACCATATGGATTATATTTTTGTTTCCATTAGATTTAAATTTTGTAAACAAACAAACAAACAAAAAAAATTGCCCCTCAATGCTGCTTGACACCAAGTGCCAACATGCGCCACTATCATGAAGAATTTTGAAATACGGTAGCGCAGAAGGTCTGAGGCGGCAGTTTTATTCATACATTTAATATTATTGTAAATCACCAGGCAGCGTTTAAAGAAAGGAAAGAAAAAGAATGATCCAATGAAAATATATTGCCCATTACTGTACACTTCAATAAATGATCTCAAATGATCCCATATTTATGTCTTCTGAGACTGCACACATTCAATCGCAGGTATTTATTGATATATTTTCCCCTTTTTTTCCCCAAGACTTAGGGTAAAAGACGGTCAGAAAAGCGCTGGTACTGATTAAAAATGAAATTCAAATGCATTTTAAATCCAAGTGAACTGCACTCGGGCAGGTATTCTTTGTCTGCCACTAGAGGGAGCCTGCGCACCAGTGGTGGTACCCATCACTGAGCTTCATCCATGCATCCATCCATCAATCTATCGATCCATCTTGTCAAAATGTAGCTCAGCTTGTCTACATCTGTTCACTCCGCAAGGGCCCAAGAGGACAGACTGGGTCGTTTTTTTTGTTTTTTTTTACTCTCCAATTAGAGCACGATATGCTGGGCACGTTTCTCTGGATTTGAGTTCAAAACGAAACCAGCGTTTGTCTATGATTTAGAGAAACCGGCGAGCTCTGTCGGCACTAAAACGCACCCAGTGAAAGACTTGATTGCGAATGGCTCATAAGTGGTGTTTGCAATTCAGTTTGAGGGTCACTTAAGGAAGCCCGGACCAATAACAAACGTTGCGTTTTCTGTCCAAAGCAGTTTCTTGATAATTGGATTATGCATTGGAGAGTGGCACCAGGTTTCGCCTTGTAATTACCATCTGCATTCAAATGTCTGTGCCTTTAAAGCAAAACGTTCGACGGTAAATTTTGCTTCGTGCGTATTGCATCCGTTGCCAAGCAGTTATAGCGAAACCTGATTTCACCTCGCTTTGTTCTCGGAAAGGTTAAACGCAAAGGAGTGTTCATCAGGTACAATAGCAGCAAATGCCATATTAGAATATGTCTGAAAATAATACAGGAAATGCATTGAACTGAAGACACGTTTGAAAGACGTGAATACAATGCTCGATCTGTGACCGACCCATTCTGCATGCTTATGCTAATTTAGTCAGGCCAATGCTAATTTATGTATTTCCCACAATTCTCCGCACACAACATGATCATTGAGGCCGGTTGAAGATCCACAGCCACTTTCAAGCATCAACGGCAATCGGTAAGCAGAGCTGCATTTGATGTGGTTGGCTGCACCGATTAACATCCGCTATCAGATGTAGCGTCTGATATGTGGCACATACAGTGGTTGATTGCTCATTCAAATTATCCATCCATCCATTTTCCGATCTGCTTCATCCTCACAAGGCTCGCAGGGGGTGCTAGAGCCTATCCCAGCTGTCTTCGGGCAGTAGGCGGGGGACACCCTGAACCGGTTACCAGCCAATCGCAGGGCACACAGAGACGAGCAACCATCCTCGATCACACTCACACCGAGGGACAATTTCGAGTGCATTCAAATTATAAGGGAAAAAAACATGATCGTCACACGCAATTGAGCACAATCAGTCACACGATGCCGCTTGTGTACAAACACACACACAAACACACACACACACACACACACACACACACACACACACACACACACACACACACACACGGAGCAAGTCATCCCACTGGGAAAGGCATTTGGAGCTGAGAGCGCTCCCACTGAGCAGGTAAAGAACCCAAATAGCCCAAAGGCAACCTTGCAGCTCCGGTAGCTCAGTTGTGGTGACTTCTTGTTGGTCATGCTGAACTCCGCATGAACCCTTATATCTATCTATCTATCTATCTATCTATATATACACACACACACACACACATACACACACACAGTATATAAATAAAACACTTTCATGGTGGCCACTGGTGTGACAGCAGCACATGGTTGTCTAAATCAAATAAAAGCAGGGAGCTTAGTGTGATGGTGGTGCCAAAGGCTGAAAAAAAATGAGGTGAAGAAAGAACACATTGATAAATCAAATTAATATTAAGTATGATGGAGTGTAGGGGTCCATCAGAATAAACGTACCGCTCATTACCTGATAGCTTGAAAATGGTAAATGATCCATTTTTTTTTTATAAAAATGGCAGGTATTATGTCTCATCCAGTGTGCAGGTGTACCTAAAATTGTGGCCAGCGAGTGAACAGTAGGCCGACACTCAAAGAAATTTTGTCACGTGCCTGCACATCACAAAATCATCTGGATTGAGATGCCTTTTTTTTAAGTCCATGTATAGTCGACTTCACAAAAAAATGCATCTGGATCCACATGATTTGATTTCATGAAACCACTTGATTAAACAAAAGGGACTAAATTCCACACACCATTTTGTTCAACGTGAGTGTATCTAAGTTTTTCAAGGGAGAGTAAAAAAAAACAAAAACAAAAAAAACAAAAACAAAAAAAACTCAGGCAAAAACTCTCCTGAAAGACTTCATGCTGTTCTTGCTGGGTTGAAAATAAGCACTTGAATGACTCAAGACTCATGAAAAGAAAAAAAAAGTTCATTCTAAAATGGGACAGGTTACATAAGCTAATTCAGAGTTAACTGTGCAGAACTGCCGTCGTACAGGATGCAAATTATCGCCGAGTGACCGCAGCACAGGAAGTGCACACTGATTAATCACTCGTTGACAAGGCACACATCACATTTGTGGATGCGCGCACCATGACAACCAAGTTGAGCGATTTCAAACAACTTTGCTTTGACAGGCTATCAGGTGGACCGTGGAAATGATCCGCTTTTTCCTCATTGGGCCAAAATATTTATTTACGACAACAAATAAGGTACACTGGAAAAAGTGGTGTGTTGAATTTACTCCATTTTACTGCTTTGACGAATTGGGTAAAATCATTTTTGTGTGTGTGTGTGTATCTTGAACCTCTTCTGCTTTAGAAGACTTTCTGAACACAAAATGTTAGATTTGTTGCTAGTCGCCTGTTTTTTTAAATAGTCACGAGAAGTCAAGAAAGTCGCTAAATAATCACTCGCGACAAAGTTGCTAACACTGAGTCGCCTCTTCGAGTGCCGTCCCCGTCGTCATGGCAACAAAATTTGAGGTAGCTTTCTGTGTCCCGAAACGTATTTTTGACGCTGGTCTTTTTTTTCTAGCACAACATATATTCAAGATAATTAGTTAATGTATGTATTTATTTATTCTATGAAAGTTTCACCGATAAAAGCTTGCGCAACAGGGACTGGACCATTCTTTTTTTTTTTTGCTATGAAGCCCCCCCAAAAATTCCACCTGTCGCTGAACCTTAGACCGTAATTCATAACTCTTCCTAAATATATGACTTTAGTACATTTATTATTATTATTATTATTATTATGTTATGAAAACCAACTGTGCTAGAGAAAAAACAAAACAAAACAAAGGGAGATTAGGAATCCGGAAAAAAAAATAAGGTAAAAAAAAATTACTAGCGTCGCTGATTTAAAAAAAAAAATCAGTAAAAAGTTGTTGATCGGGGTAATCAATGAATTTATTGGGTCATTTGATGAAGCAGAAATGATCACCAAATATCTCTGTAACAGAAGAAAAATGCTTGGTGCGGCAGTAAGGCACGACGAATGGAATGTAAATATGTAAACGCGTGTAGCATGCTTGAGCGGAATATGAAATGCCGCAAACTATTTACCAGCAACATAAGCAGCGAGCAAGGAGCATTAAACGTGCGTTTGAGCGTCGCGGCTCCACGAACGAAACGAGTTTCTCAAAGATTGCTGCAGATAAATGGATTCACTTTCACCCTGGCGTGAGCGCTTCGCTCGCTCACCTCCGCAAAGACACGTTGGGCGCCGCCGCACAACTAAACAAAAGACGGGAGAGTCCTGAACTTCCACGTGAACTTCCCGTTTTAGCGCTTTCACATAAAAAAAACTCCGCTCGCACAGATTGAAAAGGTGAAAGTTTGTTGCTGCAAACTCACCGTACGCGACATCCAGCGGGGTCATCCCAACCACTCCGCCAAGACATTTGCAGCCTCATAAATGTCTTTAAACGTCGCCTTATCGTCAAGAGTGCAGCGGAAGCTTTGCTAAGTGTAAATACTTTCGGCCAACTTACTGTAGTCACCTGCTTCGACCATTATCGGTGTAAAGTGCCTAAAACATGCGCCAAAATGCTGTGCATTGTTCAAACCCAAAAAAATTCATCAAGTCAATGTTTCTACCGGTAGCTAAGAAAAACAAAAAAAAGACAAAATAAAACCATAGCTTGCTGTCTTCAAGCTGTTTGTTCATCACTCTGACTTCTTGGTAACCTGATACACAAAACAAGTGAAATAAATAAACTGTTTATTTTTTTGGGGGGGGGTTATGAAAAGGAGCTAGCTTAATGCTAACTTCCGGTA